TGGCTGGATCCTTTAAGTGCTCACGGTGTCTCTGTAGACTCCCTGCTGTCCGAGGGGTGCTGGCCAAATTCTGGCCTGGTCCGTGTCCTGGAGCGCTGGTGTTGGGGTCCTCGTCGTCTGGCAGGTTGGGCCCTTCGACTTCCCCTGGCCCCGCGTCCCAGGGCAACCCAAACGGACATCCATGTTTCTCGCGTGCGCACCCGACGCACGTCCTGGCTGAATTCAAAGGTATATTGTACTGTCGTTGCTGCGGGTGCTTTGCTGCCAACACTGTTCAGAAGTTGGCCAAGCCTTGCCCACCCGCGTCTCCGGAGACAGGCAGACGGAAGCTGTCCGCCACTGGCAGGCGCAATCTTGAGCGGCTGGCTGAAGGCAAGCCCCCCAAGTATGGCATGGCCTTCCCCGCTCCCTGACTGTATTGATCCCGTGGGCCCGAGCTTGCACTCGTGAATCCCCCGAATGCTGGAATCGCTGGAATCCTCGTCCTGTTGTCTCATTAGCAACCGTCACCGCTAGCAAAGCCTGCAATGAGATAGGACAAAGAAGAAAGAACAGTGCACAAGCAGACATGAGAACGGCCACCACACGAGCGAGAGGGATGGCAACATGGGAAGACGGCTCAAGACTGCTTGCATTCCTCATGGGCTCCCGCCCTCATCGAAGAAGTCGCCGACCTCTTCCCTTTCCTATACTTCACTCTCGTCGTGACACGATCGGACTTGGACGTGGAGCTCATGCCGTCCTCGCGCGCCGAGCCCCAAACGAACCTGAACGGGGAAGGTACAGGGTGCTCACCATCGCGTAGTCCGACCTCAGGCTCTTGGGCGCCCAGGGCACAATCGACACGATCGCACAGCTGCACAAACGGCTGAGCAGCACAACGGATGTCCAGCCAGGCCCGCCGCTGCTCCTCCACGGCCGCGTAGACATCGGCGTCGGCATATCGCCTTGCTTCCTGATATGCTTGAAAGTGTCGAGGCTCTCCTCTGACAGGTCAAAAAATTCATGCAGAGCACGAAGAGCGTCACCGAACCCGTGTCGGTGCGCCCCAAGAACGCCATCAGCCCTCCAGTGCAGGAGGAGTGCCTTCCCCAGCGCAACCATCCTCTGCTCGAGCTCCTCCTCGACCTCAAGCGGGACCTCCATCTGAAGAAGAGCTCCGTCGGCGGCATCAAAGGCGCGTCTGCTGTCCATACCCGCAGCCCGCTCTCGGCGGAGACGACGAGACAACGCGGCAGCAGAGCGACGCGCCCACGCTTTGCCGCGCTCTGGCCCACATCCAGTCCGCGCTGGGGAGCCTCCCGTAGTCATCCTCCACTGCAGCGAAACTCTTGCACATGCCAAGCTGGCTTGAACAACGTGGGTTTCGCCCGCTGGTGGGCGGCTTGAGCTAAAATGGATACGGAACTCCTCCTCCTCCTCCCCCTCCTCCTCCCCCTCCTCCTCCTCCTCCCCCTCCCTCCCTCCCTCCCTCCTTCCTTCCCTCACTCCCTCCCTCCCCTCCCCGCCCCCGCCCCGCCCCTCAGAGACCCTCCCCTCCCCATCACAATTACACAATATGAATATTACTCTCCTTTCTCCCTTGGTGGCGTCAGGGCAATATTCGGCACCCCTCCGCGTACGGGTTTTTTACACATTGGATTCCCGGGAGTTGGGGTAGAACGTCATATGTGTGTGTGATGTGAGTGCACCTAGCTTGTCTTCCCCCCCTTCCTCCTCCTCCCTCCCTCTCTCCCTCCCTCCCTCCCTCCCCTCCCGTCAAGTCCCCTCCCCTCCTCTCCCCTGCACAATCACACACTATGAAAACTACCCTCCTTACACCCCTGATGACGTCTGGAAAATATTCGGCACCCCTGGGCGTACTGGTTTGTTACACACAAGATTCCCGGGGAACGGGTTTTCGCTGTATTTGTTTCAAAATGTTGCTCTTGCTGATGCGCTGGCCTCATTTTCGGCCTTCCGCTGGTTCCGAAACGTGCTCCCGCTGTAGCGCTGGCCTCATTTTCGCGCTTCCGCTCGTTCCGACTCGTGCTCCAATTGCAGCGCTGGCCTCTTTTCCTGGTTTTCATTTATGTTTTTGGCGATCCGATTTGATCGGTTCTTCAAATTGTTGCTTCCGCTGCAGCGCTGGCCCCATTTCCGTGCCTCTGGTTGTTCGAAAACGCGCTCCCGCTGCAGCGCGGGCGTTTTCGGTCCTTCCAAATAAGCCCCAAATCCAAAGGAGATTCCCCCGGAAAGTGGTTACACATCCGGTGCCGATTCGTTAAGTTTTTGGGCCGCAGACAGCACCCCTCACTTCGGGGCGGCGGCGCTTGGAGGAAATATCGAGCTGGAGCCCCGTTTCTGCTTTCAGCAGGCGGTGTTGCAAGCAGAGCCAGCGGGTGCTCTCCATCAGCCCCGCCTTGTGGGGAGCTTGTCGCGGAGCCCAGGGAGCTAACCATGGAGCCGCGACTCCAGACGGGCCCCGACCCTTCGAAGACTATCCGCTTACCCTCCAAGGAACCCACTGCCCTGCCATGAATGGCTGTGCGGCGTTCTGCTCTGCGCCGCTGTGCGATGCCATGCTCTGTGTTGCAATGCTTTGTGATGCAATGCTTCACAACGCAATGCTACGCCATGCTGTGACACTCTGCCGTGCTCTTCGACGCCATGTCATGCCGTGCTCTACGCTGCATCGCGCACCCTCTCGCGATGATTGCCCTGCTCAACATCCGACTGTGCGAATAGAAGGAGATCTACGCCATGGTAAGGGATGGGAGGGAGGGGTAGGACGTCAGATATGACGCGAGCGCGCCTAGCTTGCCTCCCCTCCCCTCCCCTCCCCTCCCTCACTCCCTCCCTCCCTCCCCCCCTCCCTCTCTCCTCCCCCTCCTCCTCTCCTCGCTTCTCCTTTCCCCTCCCCCCCCTCCGCCTCCTCCTCGCTTCTCCTCGTCCTCCGCATCCTTCTCCTCCTCCCTCCTCCTCCTCCCTCCTCCTCCTCCCCCCTTCTCCTCCTCCCTCCTCCTCCCTCCCTCCTCCTCCGCCTCCTCCCTCCTCCTCCGCCTCCTCCTCCTCCTCCCTTCTCCTCCTCCTCCCCCGCCTCCTCCTCCTCCTCCTCCTCCTCCTCCTCCTCCTCCTCCTCCTCCTCCTCGCGTCACTGCTCAGCGCAGGTGGCCTCTCGCCAAAGGCTCGGCGGCGCGCCGAGGGGGGGGAGGAAAAGCGAGTGGGCAGGCCCTTCTCAAAAGGCGGGGGCCGCAGACACGCTGACGGCGATGTAGGTAGCGGCGATGTAGGTTTCGGTGCTGTGAGAACGCGCAGCTCGTGCTTTCCTACAGTCAACAAGTTTAGTAAGGATGCGCGATAAGGCTGCAAGGGCCTTGGACGCCCATTTCGAAGCTTTTCGAGCGGGGCGCGGCCAACGAAAGTGGCCAAGGATGCACCGAGGAGGCAATTATGCAAGAAAACCTTGGGAAGGCTGCCCATCCTTACTATCCTGGTTGACTGTAACGGCGATGTAGGTGTCGGTGCTGTGGGAACGCGCGGCTCGTGCTTTCCCACAACTTCGATACATTTGCAGATCGGATGTGCAGGAAGGTGTGGATCGTGATGTCCTACAAGTTGGTTCCCAACATCGCCGTTCAACAACATCGCAGTTAGCGTCGCCTGGGGGGGGCTTCTCGGAAGGCCTCCGGAGCCACAGAGGAAAAGGCTTAGGTCGGGCATGTCATCCTAAAGGCGGATTCTGGACGAAAACCATAATAGTTGTTTTAACTCAACAATGGTGAAACATAGTCAAATGACATGGTACCCAGACGATGGTTGGACTATTTTTGAATATTCCTCCTGTAGAGAGGGACATGCCCGACTTACGAGAAGGCTTGGGGGCCTTCCGAGCCTTCTGAGAAGGCCCAGCCCCTCTTCTTTCCCCCTCGGCGCGCCGCCGAAAGGCGAGGCATGCCGATGTGCCCGGCAACGCGTTGCGGGCAGTCGAAGCCACGCCTGCGCATGATCGGGAAAGCCTGCAGACGAGCAGCAGACGGCAACGGCGAGTCGAAAGGCAAGAGGATCGGCGTTGAGGGGGGGAATAACAGTGGGGATGGATCAGGAATGAGACAAGTAGGATGCACAAGAAAGGGAGGAGTGATGACGCGGAGAAGGAAGGGACAAAAAAGGTGAGATGCAGGACGCTGAAGGAGGAGGCGGCCGACGGTGAAAACGACGACGACTATAACGACGCCGACGACGACGACAACAACGCCAGCGGCGACAACGACGAAAATAACGACGGCAACGACGATGACAACGATCACAACGACGATGATGACGACAAGGCCGACGACGGAGACGATGACGACGAAAAAAGCGACGACCACGGCGACGCCAACGAGGGCAACGATGGCGACGGCAACGACGGCGACCACCGTGAGCACGACGACGACGCTGACCGACGTCGTCTGGAGGCCTCCAAAGGTCGCCACAAGTCTCGGGAGGTCCCACGAAACTGCTTGGGGGCCCCACGAAAGCGCCGTAAACGTCTGAACACCTCGACCCTCGATGCTCGATCAACGACGACGTCCCGCCGGGCCGCCCTCGGGGAGTGGCTCAGCTGCAATTCTTCGAGGCATCCTCTCCCCCTCGATGATCCGTCCTCGACCCTCGACCCTCGACCGGCAACCGAGAACGACGGCGACCGACGACGACGACGGCGACGACGGCCGACGATGACGGCGGTGGCGGGCGGCGGCGGGCCGCGGCCGACGACGACGACTCCGATCCTCGACGACGACGACGACGACGACGACGACGACGACGACGACGACGACGACGACGGTCGGCGCCGACGACGACCTTCGGGCTGCGGCGACGACGGCCGACGATGGCGACGACGAGGAGGGAGGAGGGAGGAGGGAGGAGGGAGGAGGAGAGGGAGGAGGAAAAGGAGGGAGGAGGGAGGAGGGAGGAGGAGGAGCAGGAGGAGGATGAGGAAAAGGAGGATCGGCGGCGGCCGGCAGGCGGCGCACCGTCCACGCCCCACACGACCTCGAGCGTGTCGCCCGGCGCGGGGCGGCAGGGCGCGCGGCGCAGGTGCGGCGGCTGCGGGGGCGCGCGGGGGGGCCCTCGCCCTGCGCCTCCTCCTCCTCCTCCCCCTCCTCCTCCTTTCCCTCCTCCGCTTCCTCCTCCTCCACCTCCTCCGCCCCCCCCCCCTCCTCCTCCTCCTCCTCCTCCTCCCTCCTCCTCCCTCCTCCTCCTCTCCTCCTCGGCTTTCCTCCTAGTCCTCATCAACTTCTCCTTCTCCTCCTCCTCCTCCTCCTCCTCATCGCCCTCCTCTCATCCTCCTCCTCCTCCTCGTCCCCCCTCCTCCGTCCTCCTCCTCTTCCCTCCCCCCTCCTCCTCCTGCTGTGCTGCTCCTCCTCCTCCTCCTCTTTCCTCCTCCTCCTCCTCCCTCCTCCTCTCCTCCCCTCCTCCTCCCCCTCCTCCTCCTCCTCCCCCTCCTCCTATGCCCTCTCTCGCCATGCCCTCGCCATGCCCTCTCCGCTCCTCCCGCTTCCGCTCCCGCTTCCGCTCCTGCCGCTGCTCCATCTCCTTCCTCGTGCTGCTCCTCCTCTTCCTCCTCCTCCTCCTTCTCCTCCTCCTCCTCCTCCTCCTCCTCCTCCTCCTCCTCCTCCTCCTCCTCCTCCTCCCCCTCCCTCCTCGATCGAATCGAAACATAAGATCAGATTGGAAGAACGAATCGGCTCGCGCCTGAAACCGGCGCGGACTCGGACCGCTCGGGACCGCGGATCGCGCTCGGCCCCCACGGGCCAGAGGGGGCATCCGCCAGTGCGGGGTCGGACCGGATCGAGATCGGCCGCGGACAGCTCCCCCTCCTCCTCCACCTCCTCCTCCTCCTCCTCCTCCCCCTCCTCCTTCCTCCTCCTCCTCCTCCTCTCCTCCTCCTCCCTCCTCTCCTCCTCCTCCTCCTCCTCCTCCTCCTCCTCCTCCTCCTCCTGCTCCTCCTTCTCCTCTTCCTCTTCCTCTTCCTCTTCCTCTTCCTCTTCCTCCTCCGCCACCGCCGCCGCCGCGACGGCGGCGACCGAACCAGACCGAAAGCAGCCTTGCAGGCCCTGTCGGCGGTCCTGGGGAAACCAAAAGGTACCGATACCGCTACCCCGCGGACCTCTCCTGGGGTGCGTTCTGACCAGGGTTTCGAAGCGAATCCAGCGGTGGCGACGAGGACCTCCAAGGAGGCCCAGGAGGGGGGAAACGGGCGAGGGGGTAAAGGTATGGGTACCTCTTCCTTCTCTGAGGTCCGTGGCCGTGCTGGCTCGAGCGAGCCAGCCTGCGGGAGCCCCTCGCGCGCGGCGAACGGCCAGGCGCGTTCGGACGCGCACCGCGAGGCCCGTGGAAGCGGAGCGACGGGCAGAAACCTCGGCTCGGGCCTCCGCCGAAGAGGAGGAGGAGGAGGAGGAGGAGGAGGAGGAGGAGGAGGAGGAGGAAGAGGAGGAGGAGGAGGAGGAGGAGGAAGAGGAGGAGGAGGAGGAGGAGGAGGAGGGGAGGAGGAGAGAGGAGGGAGGAGGGAGGAGGAGAGGAGGGAGGAGGGAAGGGGAGGAGGGAAGAGGGAGGAGGGAGGAGGGAGGAGGGAGGAGGGAGGAGGAGGAGGAGGAGGAGGAGGAGGGAGGAGGGAGGAGGAGGAGGGAGGGGGAGGAGGGAGGAGGAGGGAGGAGGGGAGGGAGGAGGGAGGAGGGAGGAGGGAGGAGGGAGGAGGAGGAGGGAGGAGGAGGAGGAAGGAGGAGGAGGAGGAGGAGGAGGAGGAGGAGGAGGAGGAGGAGGAGGAACTGGGCGCCACCCGCGCGCCTGTGCTGACCCGCCGGGCGGGTGCGCGCTCTCAGGGCCGCCCTCGCTCAGCACCGGCGGCTGGGCGACGCGCTGGGCAGCCACTTGCCCGCCACCCGCCATCGCTCGGACGTCCCCAAAGCTGCGACACTCAAAAAAAAAATCGGAACGGCGGGTTCTTGGCCTGTTTCGGCTTCAAAGGGCCATCGCCGGGCCTCGGGAGCGTCAACAAATGACTTGGGACGAAAAACCGGTCCCGGGGAAGCGGTCTGGACCTCCAGGGCCCACGCAAAGAAAAAAATGGAGGAGGAAGAGGAGGAGGAGGAGGAAGAGGAGGAGGAGGGAAGGGGGAGGAGGGAGGAGGGGGAGGAGGAGGAGGAGGAGGAGGAGGAGGAGGAGGAGGAGGAGGAGGAGGAGGAGGAAAAGGAGGAGGAGAAGAGGAGGAGGAGGAGGAGGAGGAGGAGGAGCTGGGCGCCACCCGCGCGCCGGCGTTGACCCGCCGGGGGGGGGCGCGCGCGCTCAGGACCGCCTTCGCTCAGCGCCGGCGGCTGGGCGACGCGCTGGGCAGCCACTTGCCCGCCACTCACCATCGCTCGGACGTCCCCAGAGCTCCGACGCTCAAAAAAAAAAAAAAAAAAAAAACGGAACGGCGGTTTTTTGGCCGTCTTCGGCCTTCAGGGGCCATCGCCGGGCCTCGGCAGCGTCGACAAACGACTCGGGACGAAAAACCGGTCCCGGGGAAGCGGGCTGGACCTCCAGGGCCCACGCATTAAAAAATGTGGAGGAGGAGGAGGAGGAGGAGGAGGAGGAGGAGGAGGAGGAGGATTGTTTTCACGCCCGACCCCTGCAGACCCCCATCGAGTGGGGACCACCTCTCCTCACAGCACAGTCCAAGGATATGGAAAAAATTGTACGTGGTCCTCCCTTTTGATATGCTGCGGGTGTCGGCCCTGGCTAAAATAATTCCAGGCCGTAAGTCCTGCGCCAGACATTGTTCTGCCGCAGTATTGACCCAGCTTCTTGACACGGCCTCCTGTACTGTAGAAGTCGCATCGACGGCAAATACAGAGGAACGCGCCATCTGAGCAATCAACCACGGCACATTGGTGATTATGTTGCTCTAAGAGGCTCGGGCTGAGGTGAGGCGGGGCGGCACAACACAGTGGCCAGGCGCGGGTCGCGCCTCTCCACGCTTGCCTCTCAAGCACGTGCCGCACTGCCAAACCTCGCCCGTCCAGGCCCACTCGTGAAACGTCTTGGACGCACGAGCAGCCTTTGGACGGCTTGATGAATTGCACGCCTGATAGATCCAGCCGCGGCCATCGTGGCAAGATCTTGGCCGCCAGAAGGATGACGGCATTGGAAATTTTGATCTCGCGATCAACGCGAGACAGCACATCTGGAGAGGCCTGAGGATGGACTCCAGCACCCTGCTTCGCAGCAAGGTCCGCTTGAAAGTTGCCAGTCCTTCTCCAGACCTCTTGCACAGAAATCCCAGCTTCTTCAATATCCTTGTGCGCGGCAAATTTCACAAGACCCTGGAGGTTGGGACCCGCCTCAGAGAAGGCTTCCAACACCGAGCCCGCATAGGCCCGATGCCCACCAAGGCGGTCCCTAGGATCCCCGGAGCAGACCGAGACCACCGACGCACAGTCACAAAAAAGAGACGAGGGACCGTCCAAGTTGATCCCCGCCGCGGCCAAAGAGGAGAATTCACCAGCCTGTGAGGACTGCGGCAGGTGCGCCCAGACAGGTCCAAAAACTCTGGCCAACAAGTGGCCTTGTTCAGACCTGAGAACGAAGGCCCACCCAGCCCTAGACAACTCACGGACTTTGGACTGAAAGCAACTACCGTCCAGGAACAGGTTTCCTTCGAAGCGAACATTCTCGGGCCCAGGGAACACCAACCCCGAATCCAGGAATCCCTGCTCGAAGAACTCTACCTGAACCCCGTCCATACCTTGCTGACTGACAGGCTGCGGCACGTAGTCTCCAGGATGGGCAAATGCTCCAGTCAGGAAATTGACCAGGTCTCCAGAGTTGCGTTCACACGCTCCACGAGCCCACGATATAACCTCCTCTCCAACTCGCTCTACCCGCTCCTCCTGACATACTTCACATTCCCATAATCAGTGAAACACTGAATCCACCTTAGCGTGACACAGCGGGCACAGAGGACAGACCTGGTAGCCGTACCTTAGCGCGCGGGAATTGGTCCAGAGAGCATTGCTCGTGAACGCCCGAACAGAACCCTTCTGCCAGGCCGCGATTTTTTTCGAGCGGAGCCCAGCCGTGACGACATCGAAACAGAGGCGATTCGATCCATCAAGGTCGGGGGGGGTCCGATCGGGGGCCAACTCCACGGCAGGAGGAGGAGGAGGAGGAGGAGGAGGGAGGAGGGAGGAGGGAGGAGGGAGGAGGGAGGAGGAGGAGGGAGGAGGGAGGAGGAGGAGGAGGAGAGGATACGGAGGAGGAGGAGGAGGAGGGAGAAGGAGGAGGAGGAGGAAGGAGGAGGTCGAGGAAGGAGGAGGGGAGGAGGGAAAGGAGGGAGGAGGAGGGGGAGGAGGAGGGAGAGGAGGAGGGGGAGGAGGAGGGAGGAGGAGGAGGAGGAGGAGGAGGAGGAGGAGGAGGAAGGAGGAGGTCGAGGAGGAGGAGGAGGAGGAGGAGGAGGAGGAGGAGGGGGAGGAGGAGGGGGAGGAGGAGGAGGATGAGGAGGAGGAGGAGGAGGAGGAGAAGGAGGAGGAAGAGGAGAGGAGGAGGAGGAGGAGGAGGAGAAGGAGGAGGAGGAGGAGGAGAGGAGGAGGAGGAGGAGGAGGAGGACGAGGAGGAGGAGGAGAGGAGGAGGAGGAGGAGGGGAGAGGAGGAAGAGGAGGAGGAGGAAAAGGAGGAAAAGGAGGAGGAGGAGGAGGGTGGAGAAGGGGAGGAGGAGGAGGAGGAGGAGGAGAAGGAGGAGGAGGTTGAGGAGGAGGAGGAGGAGAAGGAACTGGAGGAGGAGGAGGGAGAAGGAGGAGGAGGAGGAGAAGGAGGAGGAGCTGGAGGAGGGAGGAGGGAGGAGGGGAGGGAGGGAGGGAGGGAGGGAGGGAGGGAGGGAGGGAGGGAGGAGGAGAGGGAGAAGGAGGAGGAGGAGGAGGAGGAGGAGGAGGAGGAAGAGGCAGGCGGAGGAGGAGGACGAGGAGGAGGGAGGCCTTGGAGCCTGTGCTAGAGAGCGCCTGCCGTTTCGCCACGGCCGACCACCCGCTGCAGGAGCTCGGCCTGGGGGATGCGGCCCAACTGGGGAGGCCGCATCCTGGTGCGGAGCTGCGTGGCCACGTCGGAGCTGGAGACGAGGCGCGACTCGGCCGCGGCGAGGCGGCCGATGTGCGGTCGCCGACGCCCGTCGCCGTGCCGAGGCGGTCGGCGCCCACGAGATGGGCCACGACCGCGGAGAGAGAGGTGCGAGGCCGTGCAGCTCGACGCGCGCGGCATATGGAGGCGTGGCTGCGCCGCGGCGGAGCGCTCGTCTGCAACAGCCTCCGGCGGCGGTTCTGCAGCCGGAGAGGGGCCCGGCGGAGGAGACCCTGGGAGCTCGGCTTCGGGGAGTTCCTGCTGCGTGGCTCCCTCCATGTAGTGCATGGCATGGGTCGTGGTCGTGGTCGTGGTCGTCGTGGTCGTGGTCGTCGTCGTCGTCGTCGCCGTCGCCGTCGCCGTCGCCGCCGCCGTCGTCTTCGTCGTCGTCGTCGTCGTCGTCGTCGGCGGCGTGGTCGTCGTGGTCGGCGTCGTCGTCGTCGTCGCCGCCGCCGTCGTCGACGTCGGCGTCGTCGTCGTGGTCGTGTTTGTCGACGCCGTCGTCGTCGTCGTCGTCGTGGCCGTCGTCGTCGTCGTCGCGACCGTCGTCGACGTCGCAGCCGTCGTCGGCGCCGTCGCCGTCGCCGTCGCCGTCGTGATCGTCGTCGGCGTCGTCGTCGTCGTAGTCGGCGGCGTGGTCGACGTTGCCGGCGTCGTCGTCATCGTCGTCGTGGTCGTCGTGGTCGTCGTGGTCGTCGTCGTCGTCCTCGACGTCCTCGACGTGGTCGTTCTCGACGCCGTCGCCATCGTCGTCGCCGTCGACGCCGTCGCCGTCGTCGTCGTTCTCGACGCCATCGCCGTCGCCGTCGTCATCGTCGTGGCCTTCGTCGTCGTCGTCGTTCTCGGCGCCCTCGCCGTCGCCGTCGCCGTCGTCGTCGTCGAGCGCACGGCGTGCTGGACGGGGTCGGCGAGCGCTCCGGCGAGCACGCCCCCCGGGGCTGCGCCCGGTATGCCAGGCCGGCCAAAGGGCGGCGGCGTGGAGGGCGCCCTCGAAGAGGCGCACGGAGAGGACGGCGACGTCTGATGGGCCTGTTTTCCACCACCACCATCACCGTACGGTGGAGGGGGGCAGGAGGCGGAGGACGAGGAGGAGAAGGAGGAGGAGGACGAAGAGGAGGAGGGGAGGAGGAGGAGGAGGGAAGGAGGAGGAGGAGGAGGAGGAGGAGGAGGAGGAGGAGGAGGAAGAGGCGGATGAACCCCTCCCCCTCCAACTTTATGGTGGTGGTGGTGAAAAACAGGCCCATCAACGTCGGCTGCGGTGCTGCGCCCACGGTGCCAGGCAGTGCGGCCCCGCGGCGTGCGCGCACCGAGCTGCAGCCAGGCGGCCGCGCTGACCGAGGAGCGGCGGCGAGAGCGCGACCCCGTCGACGGCGGCCCCGAGAGCGAGCGTGAACCCGACAGCGAAGAGACGGACACTGGCCGCCGCGGTGCCTCCAGCGCCGCCCCTGGCGCGCTCCGCCCGCCAGGGAGGGGGGCCAGCGCCGATCCGCGAAATCCGCGCGAACCTCCGAGTTGCTATGTTTATATCATTCTTCTTTCCCCTGCCAACGGCGCCGGAGCCATCTGCGGGGGAGCGGCGATCCGCAGCGTGTGAAAGGGCCGCGAGGCCGAGGCTTCCGTGGCTGGACGTGTGAGCGCGCGGGCCGGGAGGGCCCGAGGCGCCTGCAACCGTGTGGGCAGGCGGTGCGGTCGTGAGCCAGGAACGAAGCCTTTCGGCTCCGTCCTCCGCTGTCCCTCGTCCGTTCTCTCTCTCTCTCTCTCTCTTTCTCTCTCTCTCTCTCTCTCTGTCTCTCTGTCTCTCTCTCTCTCTCTCTCTCTCTCTCTCTTTCTTCCAGAAGAAGAAAAAACACATAAACATGAGCTTCTGGCGTTCCGCGCGGGTTTCTTGGATTCGCGCTGGACCCCCTCTCCCTGGCGCCCGGCTTCCGGCTCGAATCGAGCACTCGGATTATGGCTCGGCGGCTTGGGCAAGAAACGGCCGGGGTGGGGACGCTCGGCGCCTGCGCTGGCACGTGACGTGGCTGAAAGACGCCCTCATCGGCCCAGGGGTCTTCTTCGGACTCGAAGCCAGCCTGCGATTCGTTATCGGACAAAGCGTCGGCACAAGTGAACTGGCCGTCAGGGTCGTCGCCCGTGGCGGCCGTCCACAAATCTCAAGCTGGGACTGAATGTATTTTCTCTTTCCGGTCAGCTGCCTTTGCAGCTTGCTCGGCTCGCTTAGCTCTGGCATCGCTGGGCTTAGAGCCTGGAGTAGGGGCCTGAACAGGTCGGGCGACGCTGGGTAGCCGCCCCGGAAGATCGACGATTTTGGTAATCAACTGATCTCCCTCGGCGACAAACTGAATCTGCACATCTAGATGGGGTTTTCACGGTACGCCGTGTACCGCAGTGACCTGAATGACTTGCGTTCGGGCAGCAGAGCAGGTCACGATGAAGTCCAAATGCGATGGCTTACGACCTCCCCCAGGGTCGCACGCGTGATCTGCGTCGGCGCAATTGATTTCGCCACCACTTTGCTGCACAAATCCTGAAGCCGCAAGGGCCTGGGGCAAGACATTCCAGTCTCCGACCACGGCCCAGGGAAGTTGGAAGGACTTCAGGAGGCGACCGAGGCGTCTAAAACGGGTGAGATTGGGGCCTGTAAAAACGAAGTGTAGCACTACTGGCAGAAAGCCATCCACGCTGGATGATGGTCGAGCTTGCAGCTTGCAGCGCCGCGGACTGGATGCCCTCGTGGAGCACGTGAGTCTGGAGGTGGCCCGTCGGCATGACCTGCGGACGATTCTGCTGAATCGCCTGTCCACCCATCAGGATGCCCATGCCGTGACGGCCGCGCACGGTTACAGACGAGGCTCCTGCTCTGAGTCCTCGCTCGAGGCTGCCAGCTGCCCGCGTCAGCTGGCCCAAGGTGCGTGTCGACGAGGCCGAAGTAGTCGTCTGCACAGCCGCTCAAGTATTCCCAACACTTGTCGCCCATGCATGTGGCATTGTTGTAGAGCAGTGTGCTTGTTCGGGTACAGCGGCTAGCTGCAGCCGCCTCGGCCCTATCGGGGCTGCTCAACTGGACGCGGAATATGATCAATGGGAGGCCGCACGCGCCCTGCTGCCGTCTCCCTGGCTGTCGTTGGGTTTGTCCTGCGCTTGCCGGGCAGCGAACCGAGCAGCCGAGAACCTCGCTGCCTCGGCCCCTCAGCGCCTCCTCCTCGGCCGCGCTGGCTTGGGCAGAAACCTCGGCCCCGCCACTGTCAGCGCTCGCCCGCGCGCCTGCGCCAGCACCCTCAGCGCCTGCGCCCGCGGGGGGGAGCGGTGGCCTGGCCGTTCCCCCTTGCGCGTCTTCTTGCGCCGCTCCTCCTGCGCCCTGCGAAGGGCGCGCCCTCTCGATGAGAGCCTGGGCCTGCGGCTCCCTCGTGTCGAACTGCTGTTTCAAGTCCTCGAGGCCCCTCTTCACCTGCTCGAGCTCCGCCTTCCCGCCATCCTCGAAGCCGAGGTCCGTGAACACGGGTTTGGGCCCCTGCTGGGCGGGCGCGCTAGCTGCGGGCCAACTGACGCCCTCGGCCTTGGCCAGCGCCTCGGCCGCTTTTTCTTCACCATCCCGCCTTGGCGACCTGCAACGCGGCGTCGGCCTCCTTGGCCTCTGCCGCCGCCAAGCTGGCACGGAGCTTGATCACGTTGTTCACTATCTGCGTGTGGCGGTTGACCGCGGCGCGTCAGGCACGGTCTGCCTGGCGCATACTCTCCACCACGGACCCGCAACGTCGGAGGTCACGTCCAGGCGCGTCAGCTGCGCCTGCAACGCGCTCTTCATCTGCGGGTCCGTCGGCAACGGCGAGGGCCTGTCGGAGATGGTCAGACAAGTTGTCGCTGCCGTTGCCGTTGCTGCCACGGTCGCCACGGCTGTGCGAGTAGCCACGGCCACCTCGCTGGTTGTTGCTCCCGTCGATGCTGATGACCTCGGCCTGCTCGCTGATGCGCACTACACTGGGTGAGCAAGAGCGGCCACGACGCAGACACATGGGCCGACAGCAGCGAGGACATTGCGGTTTCTCCTGATCGAGCCGATCGTTGTACTCGCATGAGCGGCACGCCTTGCATCGGCTCCACAGCCTGGTCGAACGACGGGTTGAGACTGTCATCAGCCCCAGCTCTGGTTCAACGCGAAGGTACTGGGGCAGCTCAGGTGGTGCAGAATGCGCCTGAGCCGAAACGGCTTGAGAGGAGGATGAGGAGGAGGAGGAGGAGGAGGAGGAGGAGGAGGAGGAGGAGGAGGAGGAGGAGGAGGACCAGGAGGAGGAAGAGGGGGAGGAAGAGGAGGCGGAGCGGGAGGAAGAAGCGTCTCGTCCCTTCTGCGCGCGGACGGCCTTGTCGGAGTCCATGCACCAGCTCATCAGCTCCTGCGGGCGGATCGGGCACGAGGGCAGGGCGCCGCGGATCGCACCCCCCCTTCGTGGGCACGTGCTGCCACGCCGTCGGGGAAGAGAGAGGAATTCCCCGGCCAGGCCGACTACCTACCAGACCACCCCAACCCAACCCGACGACCCGACTTTCGCCCGGATTTCGGGTTGGTGGCGGGGGGTACGGGCTTTATGCGTGGTTTGTCAATGTTCCCCGGCCGCCCCCAGAGGAGGAGGAGGAGGAGGAGGAGGAGGAGGAGGAGGAGGAGGAGGAGGAGGAGGAGGAGGGAGGAGGAGGAGGAGGAGGAGGAGGAGGAGGAGGCGTAGCCGTTCTGGGGAAACGGATGGCAAATCGGGGCCTTCGGGTTGGGTTGGGGTGATTTGGTAGGCGGTGACAGACATGGGGGAAGGGAAGCCCAGCCCACCAGCGTCTTGGACCGCGTCGAGGCCGAGCGTTGTCGTCGCTTCGGGGCTCCAGGGCCACCAAAAAAGGGATCCCAGACAAGAGGACCCTTCGAGGCGTGGTGTTCTGCATCTACGCCCTTGTCTCCGCGATCCTCGTCGCATCTTGCCTCAAATACACACCTGCCGAGGGTCCGACGCCAAGGAAGATGTCATGAGGCCTGGGGGCCCCGAATGGAGAACCACAAGAGGTCGCGATATGTCGCAAGTCCGTGAGACTTACCCAAACCAAGTTGGAGGTAGAAATCTAGACTCGATCCGGTGTCACGGGAAAGGACACTCTCCAAACAACCCTGGGGAAGTCACTTCTTTGTTGGTCAGGTTCGCGGCCTGTTCCCTGACTTGGAGGCCTGGTCAACTTCTGAAGCCCTGAAATGCAGCATTTTGTTGACGTTTAGCTTCTACTTCTGCCGCCTTCTGCCATCCTTATGGCCGTCGGACCCGCCGCCGCCCACTTTCGATGGCTTCCGCCGGCACCCGCCGAAGGCGGGATGCGCTGACGGAGAGTCTTTCTGACACGCCCTGGGTGGGCTCGGGGTCGATGGGGCCAAAGGTCTGCGCAGCATCGCGGAGACAACGGCGATGCACAGGCGACGCCAGGGAGCAACACAACGTGCTCTGGACCGTACGACCTGCCGATGCACCGGAGAAAAGGAGGAGGAAGGAGGAAGGAAAGGAATGAGGGAGGGAGGCTTGCAGAGCTCTGGGGATCTCTGCAGGGCTCACATACCCAAAGATCCGATGTCATGATTTGTACAATACGGGGTCCCCGCCAAACTCGACCCTTTCCCCGGGACCGGTTCTTCACCTGAGTCGTTTTTTGCAAAATTGTTGGGGCCCGGCGAGGGCCCCCAGAAGCAGAAACATGCGAGAAACCTCCGTCTTGATTTTTCCAATGCGCTGGATCTCTGGGTACCTCCAAGAGGAGCCCGCGGGGGTCTGGAGATCCTGAGGTCCTGGGCGGTCACGGGGGGACGTCTGTTTGATTTTGTGCGCTTAGTGTTAGGTCGGGCATGTCCTCCTACAGGCGGATTTTGGACGAAAAATGACAATTACTCCGACGGAAGAACCCCACATAAGAACCCTCTGGGCGAATCTGGAAAAAACCATCACCGTCGTCCTCGTGGTTGGTGAGGCGTCCTGGCTGTCTCTTCTGCGGATATTTCCTCTCGCCTTGGCGCGGGCCCCCCTTCCACTCCTTACGTTGTCCCCATCCTCGCCCCCCTGTTTGTTCCGCGCCCCGCCACCTCCTCCCCTTCCTGTTGCATGAGCGCGCATGTCGATGTTCCTCGGCGCCGTCGCCGCCACGGCCAGCACAGGCGCGTTCTCTACTGGTCACGTCGCGCAGCCGTTGGGACAACCCCGCGGGCCAGGCTGTCGGGACAACCCCGCGAGCCGTTGGCGCGCAAAACCAAGCAGTTACAAGGTTCCGATGACCCGCTCGGATTACCAACATGATCTGCGGGCCCCATAGGGAGGGGGCTCCCGCCTGAGCCTTCCTCAGAATTCACTCACAGACGAGGCTCCCGCCTGAGACTTCCTCCAAATTCAGGCTTGAGGAGCCCAAAAGTGACGACAGTTACAGGGTTCCGATGACCCGCTCGGATTACCAACATGATCTGCGGGCCCCATAGGGAGGGGGCTCCCGCCTGAGCCTTCCTCAGAATTCACTCACAGACGAGGCTCCCGCCTGAGACTTCCTCCAAATTCAGGCTTGAGGAGCCCAAAAGTGACGACAGTTACAGGATTCCGATGACCCGCTCGGATTACCAACATGATCTGCGGGCCCCATAGGGAGGGAGCTCCCGCCTGAGACTTCCTCCCAATTCACTCACAGACGAGGCTCCCGCCTGAGACTTCCTCCATTTTCAGGCCTGGGGAGCTCAAAAGTGACGACAGTTACAGGATTCCGATGACCCGCTCGGATTACCAACATGATCTGCGGGCCCCATAGGGAGGGGGCTCCCGCCTGAGACTTCCTCACAATTTACTCAACGATGATGAGGATGAGGATGATGAGTGGTGGTGAAGATGAGTGGTGAAGAGGATGATGATTGATTGTGAGTGGTGGTGGCGATGATGATGTTTGAATGAGGATGATGCCGATGCCGATGATGATGATGATGATGTTCGTGAGCGTGTGAGAGAGTGCGAGTGATGATGATGATGAGTATGTGAGTGACTAAGCATGTGAGAGAGCATCATCGATGATGCTGATGAGGTTGATGATGAGAGAGTGTGAGTGAGTGTGAGTGGGTGTGTGTGTGTGTGTGTGTGTGTGTTCCTGTTCCTGCGCGGGGTGTCCAGAGAAAACAAGAACCCCACTTTGGATGTGGGGAAATACTCAAAAGCCTACGCCAAAAATTCTAAACAACAGTCAAAACAGCGTCCACTAAGTATTTTTTGGCTAGGGTTGAATATTCCTCCTGTAGAGGGACTGGCCCGACTTAAGCTTAGCGAAAAAATTATGGGAGGCCCGCGAGACTCTGGAGCTCCTGAGGCTCAGACGTTCTGGGAGGTTCTGGAGGAGGAGGAGGAGGAGGAGGAGGAAGTCCTGGGAAGTTCCCAGGTGTTCACGAAGACAGGGGGGCCCAATTCGGGGGAAGAGGATTGCGCATTCGCCTCCGAACGCACGTGCGGTGCATGCAGCGAGCGGCCCGGCGTTCGCGAAGACAACCGAGGTCACCTTTTTGACGTAGTATCCATTTCAGTCTAAGAATGCTAGGCCCCTATAACGCGCAAAATATGCCAGGGTACTACTCTCAGGCCGAAGAAGCAAAACACATGCAGAAGTTGCCCGGAACAGAGGAATGCAGGGAACCTTGCCTCGAATGCTGATCGCTGACACTGGTTTGTGCTGCATTTCCACCCACCCGCCCCCGGCCCTGCCTCCTGTCTTCTCCACTCCGTCCCCTGTTGTTTCCTCCTCTGTCCCCTTGTTATCCTGCATGTTTGTCTCGTTCGCCATGCCCGCCGCGAGAATCAGTTCATCGCTCATGTCTCGACGCATACCCTGGCAGGAGCTCTCACTGGTGGGCCAACACGTGGATACACAACTCCACAAGGTGTACATGATGTGTCCTGGAAAACCAGTTGCAGCGTGAAAAGGGCCTCTTCTCCGAACAAACACTTCATTGCTGTCGGAGGGGGCGCCTGTGCCTCGCACGGGCGCGCCAGCGTGCTGGAGCCGACGTGCGATGTGCAGTCGCCACTGGCCAGGCTCACGCCGATGCTGCTGGAGCTGCTGCCAATCCAATGCAGCGGCCATACGGCTTCGGTTAAAACACAGCAGTCGCAGTTATAATTGGCTTAGCTGTAGGCCAGCTCAGCTGAGGGGAGCACGCAGTCAGTAGCGAGTCGCATACATGTAGACAGTGATCCTCGGCTCGTGGTAAGCAGTGGGCGCACGGCAGACAGGGTCGCCACCAAGGCCACATGGCCTGGGACACCCCCCGCGCGATTGGAACTTGCACGGGGGTGACCGTTGCAACACGGGAGAATCCAAAAGGTATCGATACCGCTACTCTCCGGACCTCTCCCGGGCTGCGTTCGGACCAGGATATCGAGGGCATCCCAGGAGGCCCAAAAAGGGGAAAACTAGGGAGGGGTAGAGGTATGGATGGGTACCTTTTCCTCCTCTGAAGCACCGCTTCAGCCCCGAAGCGCTAGGCACCCCGCTGACCAGTACTGGTGCATGCTGGTGGCTGAGGGCGCAGAGGCTGCCCACGCACAAGCTCCCGCCGTGCCGCGTGACGCTCAGGATGCCGTCTCGGCCCTGCACCTGCACCTCGAGGGCCAGATGCTGCCCAAATGGGGCCCTGGTGCGTGCCTAATTTTAGGTCGGGCATGTCCCCCTACGGGCGGATTTTGGACGAAAAATCCGCCGGTCCCCTTGTGGGGCCACCAGGCTGTAGGCCCGTGATTCGCAGTTTCCTGTACCAGTTGTAGTTTGTAGTTTCCAGTGTTACAGTTCTGCTTCTTGCTGGTTACTGTAACTAGTTGATTGACCGCGCGAGGGGAGGGAGGCCCAAACCAGATTTTTAGCACCACCTGGGCGCGTTGTCTGAATTGCTGGGGGGGCTCAAAATCGACACCCCTCACGCAGATCCGCGGGGTCAGGGTCCAAAAACACAGGGGATTTGCCACATTTCTGAAATTCGGTGCCACCCCTCACGCAGATCCGCGGGGTCAGGGTCCAAAAACACATGGGATTTGCCACATTTCTGAAATTCGGTGCCACCCCTCACGCAGATCCGCGGGGTCAGGGTCCAAAAACACAAGGGATTTGCCACATTTCTGAAATTCGGTGCCACCCCTCATGCAGATCCGCGGGGTCAGGGTCCAAAAACACATGGGATTTGCCACATTTCTGAAATTCGGTGCCACCCCTCACGCAGATCCGCGGGGTCAGGGTCCAAAAACACATGGGATTTGCCACATTTCTGAAATTCGGTGCCACCCCTCACGCAGATCCGCGGGGTCAGGGTCCAAAACCTGCTCTTCCATGGCCCATTCTCCGAGAGAGGGGGCCGGCGGCAGGGGGCGAAGTCCTTACGGATGAAACATACAAAAAAACAAACTAATCAAAAGAGCAAAAAATCGTCCCCTGACTTTTTTGTGTGTGTGACTATTTTTGAACATTCCTCCTGCAGAGGGACAGGCCCGACTTAAGCCTGATTGCAGTCATCGTGTGCTAGTTACCCGAAGGAGCGCTGAGTCAGGAACGACAGGGCCATCTATGGAGACGGCCCGCGCCTTCTGAGAAGCAGGGGTGCTTCTGAGAAGCCCTCCCCCATCCCCCCACCCCCCTCTGCGTGTGGCCGACAAGGGGGGCCCTGGTGCGCGCCTGATTGCAGCCATCGTGTTCGATAGTCGAAGGAGCGTCGAGTGAGCGTCGAGTGAGGAAGGACAGTCGATAGTTACCCGAAGGAGGAGCGTCGATAGTCGAAGGAGCGTCGGTAGTCGAAGGAGAGTCGATAGTTACCCGAAGGAGCGTCGAGCGAGGAACGACAGGGGGCTCTGCTGGCCGCTTCCGCCTTGGGCCGCGGGCGGGCCCCCCGAGCTGGATCTCGGGAGCGGCGCCGAACACGCAGCCGCTGCAGCCCATCCCGAGCCGAAACCCAGACGTGCGACGTCCTGACTTCTTCGAGGCGGGGCCCCTGGAGTAGAGGTCAACTGATCCACCCCCATCCTCGTCGCCACGCTTCCCTCGCCTCCCCGAGCCAGGAAGAGGGGGCCGCGTCGGGCGGGGCTGTACCTGGACGCTACTCCGAGTCTCTGAATAAGCGTCGGGGGGGCGTCACCCCCGCCGACACCCCCACATTGACCCCCGTCGCGAGCAGCCACCGCGCGCCGAAGGCGCTCCGACCCCCGTCGCGGCGCGACGACGAGGCGAGGTTGACCCCCGTCGGGGTGGAACCCACCCACGCTTTTTAAGAAACCCAGTATTTGTCGTGCCGTCTTCGTTTGGCTTTTCGTCTTGCTCCACCTGCTTTCCTGCACCTCCCCGCCAAAACGAAACATAAAGCACAACCGACGTCCAGAAAAACAGCGTCTAGGTCCAGCCCTGAAGTTAGGGGGGAAGATCAGCTCAGGGGGGGAACATTGAGCTGGAATCGGCGACGCATCGCCGAGACATCGGCGACAGGCCCGCGCCCATGGCAAGTCCGTATGGTCCCAGGCGGAGACTATCAGGCCCCTCTCGGCGATGGCTGGGCGATGGAAAGTCGATGCATCCCCCTCCTGAGCCTGTAACACGTTGCCCCCTGGTTTTCGGATCATGATTCGGCTCTCTGGCAACCGTTCGGGACGATATGGGCACTCCCGGCACGCCCTCGGCGAGGCGCCGCTGCCGAAGAGCACCCCGAGGCGACTGTAAGACCGCCGAGAACCTACGAACACGCCAGACAACCTGGGAACCTCGCACCTGTCGCCCCCCCCCGAGCATCTACCCCCCTCACGCTGCCCCTGCGGCGCACGGGCCAGGGGAGGAGGAGGAGGAGGAGGAGGAGGAGGAGGGGGAGGAGGAGGAGGAGGACGGGGAGGAGGAGGAGGAGGAGGAGGAGGAGGAGGAGGAGGAGAAGGAGGAGGAGGAGGAGGAGGAGGAGCAGGAGCAGGAGCAGGAGCAGGAGGAGCAGGGTCCTCCAGAGGGGGCTGCTTGAACCCCATGGTCAGGTGCGTGCTCTGGTCCCGCGCAAACGCCTCGGCTGGGCGCGCTCGGCAGAGGGTGTCGGCCGGCCCGCCCAGCGGGCCTCGAGAAGTGCGAGGGGCGCCCTCCTCCTTCCCGCCGCCCGCTCGAGAGCGGAGGGGAAGCGGACGGAGAGTTGACGGCGGGGAGGGGAAGGGTGTAAGGGAGGAGGAGGAGGAGGAGGAGGAGGAGGAGGAGGAGGAGGAGGAGGAGGAGGCGGAGGAGGAGGAGGAGGAGGAGGAGGAGGAGGAGGACAAGGATGCGGGGAGGGGAGGTGCAGGGAGGGGGGGGGGCGGGGCGTAGGGAAGTGGCGCCTCTCGCCTCCTGCCACTCTCTGGGCGGCACCCTCGCCTCCGCCGCGCCCGCCCGCTACTGGCACATTCCTCGCCCGGGGGGAGGGGAGGGAGTTTTTTTCACCAGGGTGAAGCCTGCATGCGCACCCACGCACAGGGAAGGGTTCGACCTCGACATTTCAGACCCTTGCATGCTTCCCCCGAGAAATGTCCTTCCAGGTCTGACCCGCGCCTGATGGGTAGCAGCAGGCGGGGGCAACAGCAGCAGGAGGCCGACGCCGACGACGCCGACGACGCCGAGGGCGACGACAACGGCGCCCGGCTGGGGCATCACGACGACGACGACGGCGCCTGGACGGCCACGGCGACGGCGCCGGCGGCGACAGCAAGGGTGGCGACGGCCAGGACGGCGACGACGACGACGAGGACAGCCGTCGGACGCACCCCCGTCTGGCCTCGGGGCCACAGCTCGGGCCACCTCCGCGGGCTGGTCGGGAGCCACGGTCTGACGAGGCTCTGGGCTCCAGGGGAGCCGCGGTCTGCCAGAGTTGGCGGCGCGCACAAGGGGTAGGGGGAGGGGGGAGGGCTTCTTAGAAGCGGCCCTGCTTCCTAGAAGGGCCGGGCCTTACATCCGTAGACAAGGCCCGCGCCTTCTAAGAAGCAGGGGTGCTTCTAAGAAGCATTCCCCCCTCCCCCTAAGCCCCTCTGCGCGCCGCCAACAGAGGCGCAGCTGCCAGACAGAATTGCAGCATCTCGATCTCGAGGCAAGCAAACCCCCGAGAGCCACCGAAATCTTCAGAAGTCGTGGGCACCCAGACTGCGGGGCAACGTTGCGAGGGGACTGGCTCACAGTGGGTGGTGTCCGTCGACCAGGAACCGGCGACACCCTGCCGACACATCGGCGAAAGGCCCCCGACAATTAGTGCATCCGCACGGCTCCCCTGCAACCGCATCCGCGATCAGTGGGCGATTCAGGGCCGATGCATCCCCTGGGTCTGCAGTCGAGCTGCTGCAGAAAGGAACGAGACATCGGGCACGAGGCCCCCCTCGGCCCCAGACGCGACTGGGTGCACGAGCAGCACCGGACCCAGAGATCCGATGTCATGATTTTTCAACACGGGGTCCTCAGCAGTCTCGACCCTTTCCCAGGGAACGGTTTTTCGTCCCGAGTCGTTGTTTCGTCCTAGAGGCCAAAACCTGCGAAAAACCTCTGTCTTGTTTTTTTCGTTACCCTTGATCTCTGGGGAGAAACCGCCGCGGAGGGGCCCGAGAAACGACGAGACGCTTCCGACCCGAGCTGCTCCGCACTTCACCGCCTTGGCTGCACATGTCCCCCCCGAACGCTGCCTCGGGCCTCGCGGACGAGGAGGAGGAGGAGGAGGAGGAGAAGGAGGAGGAGGAGGAGGAGAGGGAGGAGGAGGAGGAGGAGGAGGAGGAGGAGGAGGAGGAGGGGGAGGAGGAGGAGGAGGAGGAGGAGGAGGAGGAGGAGGAGGAGGAGGAGGAGGAGGAGGAGGAGGAGGAGGAGGAGGAGGAGGAGGAGGAGGAGGAGGAGGAGAGGAGGAGGAGGAGAGGACCCCTCGGCGGGCGCGACCCAGGACGTCCCGCCCCCGGCCTGCAGCCCTGGCCGGCATCGGCGGCGACGACGCCCGCGGCGACGGCAACGGCGAGGAGGACGGCACCAGAGGCGGCGACGACGACGACGGCGGCGGCGGCGACGTCGACGGCGACGACGAAGACGACGACGACGACGACGACGACGACGACGACGACGGCGGCGGCGACGACGACGACCACGACGAACACGACCACGACCACAACCGAGGACGGCGGCGGCGACGTCGACGGCGACGACGAAGACGGCGACGAGGAAGGCATCGACGGCGACGAGGGTGGCGACGCCGAGGGCAGCGGCGGAGACGAGGACCACGGCCGAAGCTCGCTCCAGAACCGGCCCCCGGACAGCTCCCGAGACCATCGAGCACAGAAGATCCCCGAATGCAAAAAACACCATGACGACGCGGCCTCACAGAGGTCCCCGTCTTCGCATTAGGGGCAATCATTCTGGGCGGTTTGGCCTGATACAGCCACAGAAAAAACTGATCCCTAATGTTCAAGGCCCTCCCAACTTAGAGCACAAGAGAGCCCCGAATAAAAAAAACACAATGACGACGCGGCCTCACAGAGGTCCCCGTCGTCGCATCAGGGATGATACTTCTGGGCGGTTTGGCCTGATACATCCACAGAAAAAAAAACTCCATACTTAGGTTCCCTCCCATGGGGTTAGGGTTAGGTCGGGCATGTCACTCTACAGGGGGATCTTGGACGAGAAATGCAAAACATACCAATCAATACCCCCCTATATAGTCAAACAAAAACTTTTAAACACGTCCCGACAATATATATATATATATACACATACATACAAGACTGCAGTGGCGCTTCGCGCCATGCACCTTGGTCCTTGAAGTTTAGTATGCAAGCGGACTAGCAAGAAGGTCAAGCCGACAACTCCTTTTCCGGCATCGCTTTTTTTTTCCCGAGGACGCACCGCTAAGGTTGTTGTCGCACTAGTTCCCGGCTGGTGGATATCGTCGGAGGTCTGGGCCCAAGTCGATCGCCAGAGAGAGCACAGAAAACGGGCGCCTGCAACGAAAGCGCTATAATAATGTTATTCGCTATCCTTCCTCCATGCTTGTTTTTCCTCAGTTTCGCCATGCCCTGCGCATTCTCCCCATCCTCCTCAGCTCTTTTTGCGGAATCTCCTCCTTGGAGAGCCTTTGGGGGCCTCACAACAGTTGTTTCAGAATTTCTGAAGGCCTTCTGGAGGCCTCCTGGGCGTGTTCTGGGGGCCTCTAGGGGCTTCCTCGCGCCACCCTGCCTCCAACCGCGATCTCCCTGAACGACCGGGTCACGATTTGGAATATTTCGGAGGGTGTCTTGGGGCCATCTTGGGCCGCCATGGGGCTCTCTGAGGGCCATCTTGGACCCCTGTTGTGCCGTTTTGGGGCTCTCTTGGACTGCCTGGAGGCCCCTTCGGATGGTTGTGGGGCGATTTTGGAGCCTCTCAGGCGGCTTCGGACGCTCAGGAGACCGCCGTCTTGGAGCGTCGGGAAGCCGAAAAGAGGAGAACCCCCAAATAAACCAAAACAAAATCAATGATTTTTGCCTCTTGGGGCCTTCTTGGGAGTGTTCTTGGAGGCCTCTTGGGACGTTTCGGGACGATCTTTGGGGGTATGACGGCTTCTGGGGGGTCGTCATCGACAGTATTGGGGCTCTCTTGGGTGGTTTTGGGAGCGCGCAACGTCCTGCGAGGCCCGGGGGGCCGCTTCGAGGCCCGTCTGGAGGGTCCCTAAGCCCCAGATCCCGGGAGTCTGGTTTTTTTTGTTGGGGGAGGGGACGGGTTTTCCCCCCGCCCGGGCTTGTACAAAGATAGAAAGAGGAATCTTGCTTGAACTAGTTTTGAATAGTCCTCCTGTAGAGAGGACAGGCCCCACGTAAGGTTGAGGGCCCCTTATTTGTCAATGAAGAGATCCATCCTGGCCAGTTGTCCACCCTGGACCGATCCGCTGGCCTACACCCTGCGAAATGCTTAAGAAATCATGGGTTCAGAAATTCATAGTCTCAGAAATTGAATAAAAACCCAGAACTTCTATCAAAATCTTGGGATTTGCATTGGAAAGTCAAGAATAATCGAGACTCTGGCCGAAAATTTAAGTTTTCTTAAGCATCGCCTAAGGTGTAGGGCGCGAAGGCGAGAGGCCTCTCCAGAGGCCGACCCGTGGCAAGCCCAAGGCCGACCGTGGCGAGCAGAACAAAAGCGGATCCTCGGACGACGAGGGCGGCGGCGGCGGCAACGGCGGCGGGAGGAACTCCTGCTCCTCCTCCTCCTCCTCCTCCTCCTCCTCCTCCTCCTTCGTTTTCCTCCTCCTCCCCCTCTGCCTCCTTCCTCCTCCTCCTCTTCCTCCTCCTCTTCCTCCTTCCTCCTCCTCCTCCTCCTCCTCCTCCTCCTCTCCTCCTCCCGTGTTTTCTCATCTCCTCCTTCGTTTTCCTCTCCTCCCCTCCTCCTTCTCCTCCTCCCTCCTCTCTCCTCCTCCTCTCCTTCGTTTCCTCCTCCTCCCTCTGCCTCCTTCCTCCTCCTCTCTTCCTCCTCTTCCTCCTTCCTCCTCCTCCTCCTCCTCCTCCTCTCCTCTCCTCCTCCTCCCGTGTTTTCTCATCCTCCCCTCCTCCTTCTCCTCCTCCTCCTCCTCCTCCTCCTCCTCCCTCGTGTTCCTCCTCCTCCTCCTCCTCCTCCTTCTCCTCACCCTTGGCGTTGCCTTGGAAGGCGGCGGGGGGAGCTGCCGCGCCCTGCCGCGCTGGAGGCGACGACGACGGCGGCGGCCACGACGGCGAGGGTGACGCGACCTCGCGCCCCCCCGGCGGCCAGGCGGGGGGCGCGCCTCCCCGTTGCGCCCGATGCTCACGCTCTGCGCGAGGCACTGCGCCTGCAGACGCGGGGGCCAGAGGGGAGGAGGAGGAGGAGGAGTAGGAGGAAGAAGAGGAGGAAGAAGAGGAGGAATAGAAGGACCATTGTAAACCCAAGAGCCATCAACGACGTTAGAATACACCCTCCCTCCAAGCTCCCTCTTCATAGACCCCTACAACGGTTCATTTCCATTGTGGGATCTGCCTCGTTGGAAGACAACAGTTTGAAGACCCAGAAGCATGCCAAAACCTTGTTCTCAGGATTCCCACGCCGCGGATCAACCTGACTGTTGCGTCTTGACGACCGTGGATCGTGCCAGAACGCCATTCCTGGGATTTCAGCACCGTCAATCAACGTAAATGTTGCACCCACAAGATCCTGAACCCGTCCAAAACATCATGTCTGGTACGCTGATCGCGTGAAGCCGTGAAACTTTTGCAGATTGTATGACCGTATGGGGGCGGTGCTGAGGCGAACGCCACATTTTAAAAGAGAGGCGCCCTCAATCAGCGAAACTCCTGCAATATTTTTAACCGGATGTGCGCGGCGCTTAAGCGAGAGCCTCATTTTGAAAACGGTGTATCCTCACTTCGTGAAGCTGTTGCACATGTTTAGAACGAATGTGCGCGGCGCAATGCGAAAGCCACATGTTGAAAACGAGGTATCCTAAATCCGCGATGCTCTTGCATTTTTTTAGCACGAGTGTGCACGGCGCTAAGGCGAGAGCCACATGTTGAAAACGGCCCGCCCTCCATCTGTGAAACTGTTGCCATGTTTAAGCTTCGGAGTCATAAGTGGTGAAGAAGTCTCAGGCGAAACGCCCGGCCCTCCCTGAAAACTGGCCTCGAAATGCGACAGGGAGAAGATATATAAAGGAAAGGAATGGAGGAGGAGGACGACCACGAGGAAGAGGAGGAGGACCAGTGTAAACCCAAGAGCCATCAACGCTGTTGGAATACACCCTCCCTCCAAGCTCCCTCTTCACAGGCCACTACAACGGTTCATTTCCATTGAAAGACCTGCCTCGTTGGAAGACAACCGTTTGAAGACCCTGAAGCATGCCAAAAATAGTGTTCTCGGGAGTCCAACGCCACGGATCATTCTGACTTGTGCGTCTTGACAATCCTGAATCGTGCCAGAACACCATTACTGGGACTTCAACACAGCGAATCAACTTAACTGTTGCAACCGCATTGTCCTGAATCCTTTCAAAGCACTGTTTCTGGCACGTTGATGATGGGAATCCGTGGAACGCTTGCGATTTGCGATAAAGAATGTGAGCCGCGCTACAGGTTGAAAAAGAACCGCCCTCATTTCGTGAAACTCGTGTACATGTTTAAGACAAATGCGAACTGCGCTAAGGCGAGAACCACATTTTGAAAGAGAACCGCCCTCAATCTGCGAAGCCCTTGCACATGTTGAAGACAAATTTGCGCCGCGCCAAGGCGAAAACTTCATTTTGAAAACCACCCGCCCTCAATCCTTGAAGCTTTTATTATGTTGTGCAACCAATGTGCGCCGCGGTCAGGCGAGAACCCCATGTTCGAAAAAGAACCCGCCGTCCATGTATGAAGCTGTTGTCGGTTTTAAGCTTCAGAGTCATAAGTGGTGAGGAAGTATCATGCGAAACGCCCGGCCCGCCCTACAAACTGGCCTCGGGGTGCGACAGGGAGAAATTAGACGTAAGAAATGGAATGGAGGAGGAGGAGGAGGAGGAGGAGGTTCCCATTCCCAGACATCGGGCGTCTCGACAAATAGAGGCGGATTTTTGCTCGCTGTTTTCAATCTCTCGAGGCCCTCGCCGGGCCTCGGGACCGTCAACAAAACATCTCGGGATGAAAAACCGGTCCCGGGGAAGGGATCCAGACCTCAGGGGGTCGACGTTGCGAAAAAATAACGACGCTGGGGGTCTAGGAGGGTGTCGCAGCGGAGGGGGAAAAAGGGGGTGGACGGCGGCGGGGGGAGGGTGGACGAGGGCCGTGGGAGGAGGGGGAGGGGAGCGGGGGAGGGGGATGTCGGGGGGAGCGGGAGCATGGGGGGAAGAGGGGCAGAGCAGTAGTGGTAGAAGAACAAGAAACAACCCACGCGTAACCTTTTGGACGTCCGCGTGGATTTCTGGGATCGGCGCTGGGTCCCCTCCTTGGCGCGCGGTGACGCCGCTAGGGGGGCCCAGCGCCGATCCAAGAACTCTTCGCGAACCTCCGACTGGACATGTTATATGAAATTCTTTCTTCGTCAAAAGGGTGGGGGGTCAATTCCAGGCGCCGGTAATACCAGAACGCTACACCATGTTGTTCCCCACAGTATGGGCGGGGTTCGTGTTTTCCCTGGGCCCCCCCGCACAGGGACCCACCTCACCTCGTCCACGGCACTCTGGGAGGGAAGGAGGGTAGGAGTGAGAGAGGGAAGGGGTGGAGGAGAATATGGCGGGGGGGAGAGGGAGGTAGGAGGGGTAAGAAGGAAGGAGGGGGGAGAACGGGGGAGGCGGGAGAAGACAGCGGCAGGAGTGAGGGAGGAAGGAGGGAGGTGAAACAGGGGGAGGAAGGGGGAGGGGAAGGAGGAGGAAAAGGGGGGGAGGGGGGAGGAGAAGCGACGGTAAAATGAGGGGAGGAAGCAAGGAAGTTGAGGAGGGAAGCGAGGGGGATCCGTCATATCCAGTTCCTCATGCGCCTCCACGTCCCCCTCATCCTCCCCATCCTCCTCGTAGCCGTCGTCGTCCTCCTCCTCTTCCTCCTCCGACGACGACGATGACGGCGACGACACCGACGACGACGCAAAGACGACGACGCCGGCGCTGCCGAGGACGCCGACGTCGCCTGGCAAGGGTAGCACTCGATGGCGTCCAGCGGCTCCCGCCGCGTGAACCCCATCAACGGGAGCCCGTCGAACTTCGGGGTGACGTCGTCCACGAGCAAACTGAAGCGCAGGCTCCTCGAGAGGAGAGGACGAAGAGGGAAAGCGCGAACGGCCAAAACCGGAAAAGGGGGAGAGAAAACCGTGAAAACCGGAAACATGTTGACGAACAGGGGGCGGTCGTGTGTTTGTGTATACCGCGAGTGTATATATACACCTGTACACACATATGCATGTGCGGGTGAGTGAAGGATAAAGAGATGCTCCCGAACAGCATCTATATGCATATGCGCGTATGTATCCTGGTTGAAAAGAGGGGTCTGCAACACACACACAAATCTAGACAGAGATAAAGAACAACGCCAACACACATCATCTAAAGCATTCGAAAAGGGAGGAAGAGAGAGAGAGAGAGAGGAAGAGTGAGAGAGAGGGAAACCAGTACAAGGAATCACATACTGATCTACGCGGATATACACATATATATACACATCTAGTGAAGCACGCACACACGCACATGTTATATTACGTATGTGGCTGTGTATATGTACATGTAGAGAGAGAAGAAGAGAGAGAGAGAGAGAGAGAAAAACGAAAGAGAGAGAGAGAGAGAGGAAGAAAGAGAGAGAGAAAGAGAAAAAGAACACAACACAAAGAAAGATGCACAGAGCCAAACAAGAGAGAGAGAGAGAGACAAACAACAAAACAACAAAAAGAGACAACAAGAGAGAGGAAGAGAGACAACAACACAAGGAACCATATACTTGTATACACAGTATACACACTTGTATGTTATAAACTTAAACACGCACGCGCCCACATTCATACATACACATTTATATATGTACTTATATATATATGTATATATGCATACGCGTATGTATTTGAAAAAAAAATGAGATATAACGAGAGAACAAACGAGTGAGAGACAGAGGCACGAAAAACTAGGGAAATGGTGAACGAAGGAGACAGAGCGGAGAACACACATTAAGAGAGAGTGAAAGAGATATCGCAACTATTCGGACGACGGATCGCCCAGGCCCCCCGGCCGCACGTGCCAGGCAGGCCTTGATCGCAAAGCCGGAGGCGCCACATATGGAACAGGGGTGGTGGGATGACCCCCCCGCTGGCGCGGACGAGAAGGGCCCCCGCCGTGAAGGCGGGCGGCATTGATCTGCCCTATCAGAAGCCCGCATGCGCCCCCGTGCAGAAAGGGGCGCTGGTTTTTAGCACGCTTTGGCACGTGCGCCTCGACGCCCAAAGAAGAGCGGCGCCGCCTTCGGGCATGCCCCGCAGCGGCCCAAAAAAGAAGCAGACGACGGAACAGGCGCCGGCAGTTCACGAAGCCCGATGAGGACGAGGGGGTAGCACTGGTGCGCCGCCATGGGAGCGTCAAAGAAAGCTTGGAAGTTGCCGTAGGAGCGCGCCCCCCCCCCTCATGGCCGCAGCAAGCCGAAAGGCCTGCTGCAGGCCGCTCCAAGCCTCTTGCGCACGGTGGAAGCGCTGAAGCGCGAGCCAGCGGCGCCGATGGCTGCTGGATCTGGTGCGAAGAAAGATTAGCAGCTGATCGGCTCGCAGTTGGAGCGCTTGTATGTTGGCGGTGAGAGTTGCATCGCGATAGTATGTTTACTGGCCGCTGGCCGCTGTGAGGTGCCGCGCGAGGGCTCGCCTGCGGTCCGTGCGTTGCACGATGCCGTGGGCGCGGTCGCGGTAGCACTCGCCACTGGCCTCGCGGCTGCCCTCGTCGAGTCCCTGGCGGGCCAAGTGGAGGGGGCGCATGAAGTTGAGAGCGATGGGTGGCCATCGCGCCATGCCGCTCATGGGCGTCGAGTGGCCGAGCGTTTGCCGCCTCGCCAGAGCGGCCCCCAGCAAGGCTGACATTGCGAAATGGGGGTGGCGCAATGATAGGAAGTCGCGGTCGTCGCAGCGGCTGAGAGGGGCCCCGAGCCCCAGCTGGTCCAGGTCGTCAACTTCGAAGACGCCCGCAGGCTGGGATCAGAGGCTATCGGATTCGTCGAAATGGTCAGGGCTCGGCGGCCTGGCCAGCGAATGCGGCCCTCAATGTGCGCCTGTGCCGCGCTTCCCCTTCCCGGTGGCGAATGGGTTCGGCCACTTTTGGAAAGCACCTCGCGTTGCGCTGCCTTGCCGCCGAGGAGGCCCTCAAGCGCGTCGACGACCGCTCGGTTGCCGACGGCGACGCGGGCTGGCCGTTTCAGCGCGGCGACGAAGCGCAGCATTGCGAGGGTTCGGCCAGTTGCGCGGACTGCGCCAGGCAGCGCGCGCGCACGTCGAACGTTGGAGCCGGTGGCCCGGCCAGCAATGCGCGCCAATGGCCGCCCAGGAGGGGGCGAACTTGGTTAGCACAGGCCCCGTCGCTCGCGGCGTCGACCCGTCGGGCACCATGGTCGCTGGTGCACATGCTCTAGCTGCGCATCGTCGTCTGCCTCGCCCTGGGGCGGACTCGGGATGGGCCGCGGGCGCTGGTCTTCCGCGAGAGCGGCCTGGAGGTCGGGCAAGGTGGGATCTCCCTCTGAGAACCTTCTGAGGATGCCGCAGCGCCCGACGCGCGGCGGGAGGCCCGGCCGCGGTTGATCGGCAGTCGTGGCATTGAGGGCGGTCCAGGGCAGACAGCGCCCCTGGGCTTTTTCTTTTTGGTCACGCCATCTGCGCAGGAGAGATGAGTCCGCCGAGGTGTCGGCCCTGACTTTTCCCCGTCGGGCGTGGCCACCACCGCAGAGGTAGTTGCCAAGGAGGCCGCGTTGCCAAGTGGCACGCGGTCCTAGGGCGCCAGGTGTCGACAAAATAACCAAGGCCCTATGCGACGGCGGCAACGGCTCCAAGGTCGCGCCAGGCGGTTGGGACGCGTCTGAGGAAGGCTCTCCGTTGCGCCGCCCGGAGTACGCGCGTGAAGGGACCAACTGGCAGCGAGGGCCAGGAGAGGCGGGTGCCCGGATCCACGTACACATTGGCAGGTTAGGGCCATGACCATTCGAGTTGGGCAACGGCGCGCCAAACTCTGCCGACAGGCCCCCCCTTGGAAGGTTCGCGAGTAGCTGTGGAGCGACTCGGCTCCGGCTTCCAGGCCGGTGTCTCCTCGCGCTCGCCTTGACCTAGCAGCGCTTCTCTTAGAGTGGCGGCGACGAGTGCGATCGCGTGGCCAGGGAACGCCAGGGCATGGGGCGCCCAGCGTGAGATCAAGGATCGCCCTTCGGGTCTGACGGCTGCAATAAGCCGCGTTGTTGTAGAGATGCCGCGCGCAATCGCTGGCAGCTTGAATATCCGGACCGGTGGCGCGCATGCTGGCCGCGCGAGAACGACCCGATCGAGTCCTCAGTTAGGTGCCTTCGAGGAGACGCCCGATGCGTGGGGGGGCACTTCATGGCTTGTTTCACATTGGCATCGGCAGAGGCGTCGAGGTTGATGCTAGGGTCCCTTGATCTCTAACGCCACGTTGATGTAGCTCCCGCGCCAACTTCACCCAGCGGTGAGTGTTGAATGGGTGCTCGTGAAAGCAGCGAGCGGCAACCAAGCGCATGGGATCGTCGACTCTGGCCCTTCCCGCGACTTTGCCCGGGCAAGCTCTGGCCCAGCACTCCGTCAAACAGAACTGTCTGGTCAATAGCAGCCCGTAATTCTACCGCCGCGGGGGCTGCGGCGTTGCTACCATCGACGAACGTGCCGCTGAAAGAACGGCAGGTGCACATACGTTGCTGCGTCGCCCAGACGCACGCGAGAAGCTGGATGTCGTCGACGGTGCGGAGAGCGCTCTCGGGCGCGCCCGCCGGCGCCCCTAAGCGGCGGGAGGCGCCTCTCAGAGCGGCGCCTCGCCCGCGCAACGCCCTGGGCCAGCGGGCGCGAAGGGGCAAGCATCGGCAGATGTCTGTGGTCTGGTAGCCTAGGCAATTCTGACGATCCAATGCAACCCCCGCCAACGGCTTATGGCAACGCTGCGCGCATTCAGCTTGCAGGGCAAGCGCCGCGCTGACATCGTCGATCAGCCGCCGCGCCGCCTCGCGCGGAGTGGGCGCGCTCTCGGGGGTGAGGACTGAGGCGCGCCCATCTGAGCCTCAGTCCTCGTTCCTGAGCAGATCTTATAAAGTTCGGAGCCCCTCGGCCCAAGTCTCCAAGGCGGCCCGCTCACTGTCGCACGTCTGTCCGAGGCCCATGAAGGCCCCGAGACGGGCGCAAGGGGCCCCGCGAAGCACCCGCGACGGCCCAGGAAGGCCCCGAGACGACCCGAGACGCTCAATGCGATCCCCAGACAGCCCGACAAGCCCGAGGCACCCAACGGCAGGCCCCGAGATGCTCTCAAGAGGCCCCCAAGAAGCCCCCAAAGGCTCCGAGAGGCCCCGAAGAAGCCCAGAATGCCCCAGGCCCCCAAGAAGCGCCCAAACTGCCTCCAAGAGGCCCCCAAGAAGCCTCGCATGAGAGCCCAGCGAACATCAAATCAGGTTCACGTTCGCCACCCAGGCGCGGCGGCGGGATGGGCCGCAGGCCATTGGATAACAACACTTGGGACCGCCCCCCATGCTGGTTGGGCGGGTCCAGTGAGCACTCCAAGAAATCAGACCGCGATTAGCTGGCGCTTCCTGGGCGCGCATCCAGCTGGACATCATCGCAAAGAGCATTTGGTCCGTGGGCGGCTCGCGCTTCCCTTGTCGCAAGCATGGGCTGGGGGCGTGGAGGATGAAGGGGAATTGGGACACACAAATAAATACACACAAATACAAATATCCCCTATATTTTCATATATTTTCTGGGTTTTTGTCTTCCCCCCCACTTCCCATATTTTCCCATATTTTCTGGGAATCGCCGATTAATTGTGTCTGTGTGTTTTTTCCCCTCCTGAGAGGAGCAGTGCAGGGGCGACGCCCGCCCGTCGCATGGCCTGGGGGCGCCGCGGCGAACAGGCGCAGGACTCCCCGGCGGCGACACCGCGCGGGAGCTCAGGTGGAGCTGGAGCTACTTGGGCGCCCGAGTTATCCGGGGTAACTCGGGTCCGGGGTAACTCGGGTTTGGATTCCCGAAAAAGGAACCCGAGTTATCCCTGACCCGAGTTACCCCTGATGATTCTGGGGCTCTGGACGCCCGAGTTATCCGGGGTAACTCGGGTCCGGGGTAACTCGGGCTTGGATTCCCGAAAAAGGAACCCGAGTTATCCCTGACCCGAGTTACCCCTGATGATTCGGGGCTCTGAAGCTACCACGATCCCCAAGAACGGGCACACCCCAGAGGCCGGGACCGGCGCGGGCACGATGGCTGTCGCCGAGGGGGGCGGGCTGTGGAGCGGAGTCGGGAGGAGGAGGACGAGGAAGAATCGGAGGAGGAGGAGCAAGAATCGGAGGAGGAGGAGGAGGAATATGACTAAGAATCGGAGGAGGAGGAGGAGGAATATGAGGAGGAGGAGGAGGAGGAGGAGGAGGAGGAGGAGTAATATGATGAGGAAAATGAGGAGGAATATGTTGAGGAGGAGGAGGAAGATGAGGGAGGAGGAGGAGGAGGAGGAGGAGGAGGAGGAGGAGGCGGAGAAGGAGGAGTCCCAAGGCTCCCGAGGGCGCTCTTGTTCCGTGACGGCCCCGAGGCCCTGGTGGGGCCCCCCGGGGGCCGAGAGGCGCAGCAGAAGCATCACTCGTCCTCGGTGCTGGCGGCGCGCGAGGAAGGCTGGGCCCCCCCCCGCCCTCCGAGTGGCCGGCGGCTGCCCGGGACGATCCAGACAGTAATACAAGCCTCCCACATGGGGTCGGAGTAGACGGGGTCGGAGGATCGCGCCGCATCGCGGATGCCTCGGCGATACATCGCCGATGCATCCGCGATGCATCGGCGATGTCGGCGTTGCATCGGCGATACGTCGCCGATGCATCGGCGACGCCAGCGTGGGGAGAAGCGGACTCCACATCGAGCTGCATCGCCGATGCATCGACGATGCGGCGCGATCCTCCGACCCCATGTGCTCGGACCCCATCTGGGAGATAACGCCCTGGCCCCTTGACGCCCTCGGCCAGGCGCAGCTGCTGGAAACCATTCCAAGGTTTATGTTTTTCCCATCGTACTTAAGGACCACATCCCAAAAATAATGTCGAGCACACGGAAAAGTGTCGAGAGAGTGTCGAGAGTGTCGAAACAGTGTCGGGCGAGTGTCTCCCAGGGCCCGACACGTGAAAACCCTCGAGTTTTGGTATTTCTGTGGTGCTCGAAATTCTTTCTGGTGATCCAGGCTAAAGTAGGCTGGAACATGACTACCCAAGGCGAGAGTACCTTCACGAGTCAGCAGAAACTGTAGGAAATCTGGAAGGATCCAGGCATCCGACGACGTGTTCCTGTGCAGTCTGCGGCCCCGGAGCTCTGGATTTCTTCCCTCTTCTTCCCCGGGGAGAAATGCTGCCCCGAAGCGAGTTCTGAGGCCGAAGTCTAAGAAAAGCCGCCGGGACTGAACCGCAGCATCGTCGGAGACCTCTGGCCTGTGGCCGCGTTCTCTTCGCGACGCGATGAAGGAGAGCGGCAGGGAAGGAACGGCTGAAATGGGGGAGACCCCGAGCTGGCATCGGCGATGCATCGCCGACAGATCGGCGATTGGCCCCGAGAGGGGAACCTGCACGCTCCTGGGCCGGGTGAGCCATCGGGCCCCGGTCGGCGACGAGTGGCCGATTGGGAGTCAAAACGTCCCTCCCGAGCCAGCCACGGGGGCGACTTGAGCCAACGGCAGCTCAATGTAAGTACCTGTCCCCAGACCCTTTGAACGCCCGGAATGGGTACGGAAAGAAGGGGTACGATGCCCAACAGCAAGTGTGGTCCCAAACCAACAGCGGCCGCCGTTGGACAGGCGGCATTCTGTCTCGGATGGACACAAGCCGCTGCGGCGTGGACAGCGGATCCTGTTCAAAATGAACCAGATCCGCTACTGGGCATTGTATCTTGGGCGCCCGAGTTATCCGGGGTAACTCGGGTCCGGGGTAACTCGGGTTTGGATTCCCGAAAAAGGAACCCGAATTATCCCTGACCCGAGTTACCCCTGATGATTCGGGGCTCTGAGTATCCATTCTTTTCGTGCCCATGTCGGTCGTGCAAAGACCCGTCGTGAGCCCCAAGTGTGCGCCCGCCGGACGTGCGCCCCGTCGGAGGGGGCCCTCCGAAGGCCAACGTCCGCTGCCCCAACGCGCCCTCCTCTGAGAGCCAGCCCCACCCCCCCGCGTAATTAACGCTGCCCCTGATTCGGGCAGTTGACAACGCAGGGGCAACGAGCGCAAGGGACCGAGGAGTCCAGGAAAGAAGCCCCGCATAGGCCCCGAAACGACTTCCTCTCTCCATCCCGCGCTGATTGCCCCCACCTTACGGTCGAACCTAGCCCAGAAGAGCATCCCTCAAGTGCATGCGACCCTCCGTCGGCCAAAACACATAGAACATCCGAGGATACCCTCCCCTGGGTGACAAAAACATCCAACAGGCACGAAAAACACTAGAGCACCGTCCCCGAACCTTGGCGGCGCGCACAAGGGGGTGGAGGGATGGGGGAATGCTTCTTAGAAGAAGGCTGCTCATTAGAAGGAGCCGGCCTTGCGTCTGTAGATAAGGCCCGCGCCTTCTAAGAAGCAGGGGTGCTTCAAAGAAGCCATCCCCCCTCCCCCCACCCCCCCGTGCGCATGGCCGGGGGCCGACCTCGATCTTATACCCTGGTCCGACTGCACCGGTCTCCCGACTGACGCGAGGGAGCCTGGAGACGGCAACGGCAACGGCCCGGCGCAGCGAAAGTTGAGCAGGGACCGACCGTTCCGGCATTCCTATAGGCCTACCACGAAATAGTCTTAGAACCCGACCATGCTGAAAGAAAACGAAAACAGTGATCGTATAACATCTACCCGAGGTGTCAAAAGAAAACAGCCTCCGCCAGAAGTGTTCTAAGAACATTTCGTCGAGATCACAAAAGGTTTTTAGACAATTCTTTGGTGGGCCTATAGGCGAGCCAGGACGCTTCGCCATTGCTTGAAAAAGGCGGGGCTCTCCCGTCGCCGCTCGGGCGCGCGGGCTGCTGCACGAAGACGAGGCAGCCGCTGGGGAGGTCGTAGGGCTCCCGGCGCAGCGCGGTGCGGCCCCTGCCGATGAGGATGCAATGGTCCTCTCGATGGGGCAGAGGACAGCGGAGCAGAGCACAGGCTGGAGGGAGAGGAGGGAGGAGGAGGAGGAGGAGGAGGAGGAGGAGGAGGAGGAGGAGGAGGAGGAGGTGGAGGAGAAGGAGGAGGAGGAAGAGGAGGAGGAGGAGGAGGAGGAGGAGGAGAGGAGGAGGAGGAGGGAGGAGAGGAGGAGGAGGAGGAGGAGGAGGAGGAGGATGAGGAGGAGGAGGAGGAGGAGGAGGGAGGAGGAAGAGTAGGATTCTACGGGCCAAAACGGTTCGCGACGGCCTGTGCTTTCGCGCAGTGGGAGATACAGGCCGCTTTGGGCCGACCCCGAGCCGAGCCAGAAACTCCAGGGAGACCCTATAGGGGCTGGTTGGTGGTGGGGTGTAACCCGCCCCACAATCGATTCAGCCTACCCCCGATCACTCTTTGGGCCCCGGGGCGACATGGGGCGAAAAGGCCCGTCCACCTCTCGCAGGTGGCGTACCTGGCACACCTGCGACAGAAAACGTGGGATTGGCGGGACACGAGTTCGTGTCCCGCTTCCTGTGCTTTATCGACCCTGGCTCCCCCCCAGTCCAGAGCGGTCCGAGACGGGAGAGCGGCAGCCAGGGGCGGGGCAGGGGGGTCAGGAGCCGCCAGGGCCCTTCCCTCCTCGCCCTCGACCGTTCCTGGGTCCCTGGGAGGGTCCAGGAGAACCGAAGGGGGGTCGGGGGGGGGTCGAATCCGTCGGACTTGAACCTAGCTCAGTGTCAATAGTATCTCGGCCTAGGACTCCTACACACGCTCCAAATTCCAGGATGTCCCGAACCAGACGATACTCCTATAAGTAGGCTTCTCTACACCAGGCGGGGTGGGTATGATACGAGGCCCCCTGCTTTGCACACCTGTCTGCAATTCTGTTGCCTTCCCACCTCGCGCGCCCGATCGCTTCGCGCTCGGCGCGCGACGCGTGTGCTCTCACTTTGCACACCATGACGGCGCGCGGGCTCAGGCCGCCGTGCTCGGCGATGGCCTCGAAGATGCGCTCCCAAATGTCAAGGTGCGGGCGGCTCCTCTTGCCGAGCCACGTCGGTCCTGCCTGCGCGCCGTCGACGACGTTCTGGCAATCGGTATGAATTATGATCGGTGGCGTGCCCACTGTCAGCGCCTGCAGCAGCGCGTAGAGCTCCGCCCTCGGGACGCTCTGGATCCACTGCGTGCCAGGGAGCGGCCCGTAGCACACGCAGTCCATCTCGTACTCGTCGTTGCCTTTGAGCTTGGTGAAGCTCCAGCCGCCTCGTCGCAGTGCTGGGCAGTCGCCGAACTGCAGCGAACCGTCCACGTAGATGTCCCCCGTCGCCAGGCCGCCCCAGTTGCCCTCGGCAAGCCAGTCGTCGCACGACGCCAAGTCCCAGAGCCTCAATTCGACGGCCGGGTCCGCCATGATGCCCCCCCCCCCCCCAATTTCCTTCAGCCCCTGGGCCAGGCCATGGGTTTGCTCCTCGCTGTTGAATGCGTGGGCCCCCGACCACGCCTCGGCGCCGCTGGCGCGCGGGGCACGCGAAAGTTCGATGTCTATTGGTGCTAGGTGCCAGCCCGCGCGCCCTGCGCGCGCTGTCAGGTGCCACTCCTTTGGTGCGCAGCCGCGCCTGCGGCCGCGCGCCCCCGCAGAAAAGGCCTCGGACTCGCGTGCGATGTGCCTGAGTTCGTCGCCCCTTGAGTGCCCGTCGTAGTGGAGCTTGAGCTGGTTCTAGGAAGATGGAGGTGATGCCGTACTGGTGGCCGCACTGCTTCACCCACTCGCCCTTCAGTTGCAGCTCCGCGGTGCGGACGACGCGCAGCTTGGCGAAGCGCAGGTCGAGAGCCGCGCCATCGATTGTTACTGAGTGCGCGGCCTGCGTCATCCAGCCGAAGCGCTTCACCGTCGCCGCGAATGCTCCAGCGGGCCCCCGTGCTGTGAGCCAGGGGGCCCTGCACTTGTAGATCTTCATCACCGAGGTGCGCCACGCGCTGTGGAGCCGCTCGGCCAGCTGCGCGTCCTCGAGCGCCTCCTGCCACGCCGTCGCCCAGGCGATAATGGGGCCGCTGTTGACCAGGTTGCCTGGGTCGGCTCTGTCGACTCGGTCTTTGAGGGCAGTAGACCTGCCCTTGGTGTTGCCCTCCATCGCCGTCGCCGCGCTCTTCCTCAACTCATTGAGCTTGGAGTCTGCGGTGCCGACGATGGTGGAGCCGTAGAGGAGCGCTGGCACTTTGGCTTGTCTGCATCTGCGCCGCCCCTCCTGCTCTCCGCGCGGCTGCCACCCGTGCCTTCCTCGCTGCAAACTTGAGCGCGCGCTTGTTTATTGCTGCCACTCGCCTCCGTCTGCATGCTGTAGCTGCGACTCCCAGGTGCTTCTCGTGCTTCACCACTCTCACGCCGAGGCGCCTGGCGTTCGCGTTGATGTTCTGTCCCAGCGCGGCGGAGGACGTCAGGGTGACCGTCTTGCCCTCCGCGCCCCTCGAGAGGGCCATGTCCAGCTCCGCCGCGAACATGTATACCACGGCCGCGACGGGCAGTGGGTGGAAGTGGTCGACGAACTCGCGGATGCCGCGCGTGGCCATGGCGAGGTCGCCGAAGAACAGGCACGTGTCCGCCCGCGGGAACTGGTGCACGAGCTCGTCCAACTCCAGGATGATCACCATCTAGAGGCAGAACGGCGCGCACCTGCTGCCCGCGACGATGCCGCGCTGCCACGCCCTGCCCTCGGCGCAGCACCCACCCAGGACGGCGCGCCCCACCGTGCCGTATATCTTGAAGACGGTGCGCACGATGACGGGGTTGAAGCCCCAGCTCCGTGTTGCCTCCCATACCTTCCGATGCGTGGCCCGCTCGAAGCACTTGACAAGGTCGAAGTAGGTCACCGCGTACTCATGTCAATCGGCGCGCGCGGCCTCGCAATATAGGGCCTGCAGCCACACCGCTCGCTCCGATGATCTCCCTCGCCGAGCCCAATCATAGGCTCTCTGGTTGGCAGCCTCCCAGCGCCTGGCGCAAGGAATGCGGGTGGTCCCCCACACGCGCGCCAGCTCGGGGACGAGGCCCAGGTTGCGGAAGCCCCCTGCTGCCTTCGGTTTCAGGTAGAAGAGGGTGGCGGCCTGCGATGTGGGCCACGGCGCCCATCGCTCCACCGCGCCACGCACGCGCGCCACGCGTGCTGCTCACTGGAACCCGCTATGGCGCCACAAACGCGGGTGCCAGTCTGCTTTTCCAAGGCCAGTCTTGGGGCGGAATCGCCCGCGCGCCTCGATGATGTCCCTCGGTGTGATCCGCGGAACTGCGTGCTCTCGCCACTCGTCGTCACTGGGAGGCTGGCACCGCAGCTCGCTGGCGTCATGGCTGTCCGCCCAGACCGTCTCCCAGCCCTCCAGCGCCGCGTCCGCGGCAACCTGCGGGTGCGTGAGCTCCTGCTGGTTGTGGTGCTCGGTCGGCTTGATCGGTCCCCACGGGACTGGCGGCTTCGTCCACTTGCGCAGTGCCCCCGCTCCCGCCTGGCTGTGCTTGGCCACCCAGCGCCGCCGACCTCTTGCTGCTTCCCGTTGCACTCGCCGCCACATGCGTTGGCTGGCGACCGTCGTGAGCTTGGCCGCGCAATCCACGCGGTGCAGGCCCCGCTCGGTGATGTTCGCCGCCCCGATCCAGGCGATGGCGTTCGCCAACTTGCTCCAATCGATGTCCGTCCAGTGCCCCCGCCCCGTCGGTAGGCGGCGCTCTCCTGCCGCTTCCGCCCCAACCGACAGGCAGTCCTGCAAGGCCGCTGGGCCGAGGACAGCGGGGCGCCGAAAAGTAAACTCTGGGAGGCTCACCTCGTCCTCCTCGACTCGGCGTGCTGCGTCGTTGAGCTACTTCAGGTCGTCGGCGAATGCCTCGGCGCCGACGCTGTCGTTCTCGCGCTCTGCGTCGACATCGACGTGGTCGCCGATGTCGCCCCCGTTCTCGCGCCCGTCCGCGGCGCGCTCCTGGTCGGGCTCGTCGCTCCAGGCCGGGTGGCGCCGCTCGAGGCGCGGCTCGATGATGTCCTTCTCAAGGATGCCATTGGCGTTGCACTGCGCCCGGCACAGCGTCTCCTGCTTGCCGTTGCGCCGCCACGCTCGCACCGCGGTGCTGATAAGCTCGAGTCTGCGCCCCAGCCATTCTGCTGCTTCCGCCCACTGCTGCTCGCGCCCGGCCTCGCACACCTTGGACAGCTTGAGCTGCCCCCAGGCGCAGGTGGGGGCCTGCAGGTGGCCCTTGCGATCGTGCCACTCCAGGCCGACGTAGTTGAAGTGCTCGTTGAGGTGCTCCTCGTACGTGTTGGCCAGGTTGCTCCAGTAGCTGCCCACCTCCCCCTGGCTGTGCCTCGCGCGCTCCAGGAGACGTGGCCGCGCTGAGGCCAGCGTCGTAGGTGCCGCCGTGCCCGCGCCCAGCGTCGTTGTTCCCGTATGCGCGGCATGCGTAGTAGCACAGGGGAGTGCGGCGCTGTGTCGAACTGGTCCTGCACTGCCAAATGGGGCGGGCCGTCCAGGAGCGTCTTCGAGATGAAGTAGTCGCGGCGCCGCGCCTCGCCCAGACAGACGCACGACCCGCGGGAAGTGTCGAACGCGATGATCCCTTCCTTCCTGTCGACCACCCCTGTCTGCTGTAGCCCGGCGGGGTCCATGTTGAAGCCGCCGCCCAGGATCCAGTACTTCCCCACCGCCATAGCAGCCGTGGTGAAGTTCCGCAGGATGGCCTTGTTGCGGTCGGTCATTCCCTCGCTGACCCATAGGTAGGCCGCGCCGATGGCGACGCCCTGCTTGCCGAGGGCGTCGACCCAGCCGATCGCGAAGCGGCCGTTGGACTCGCGGGGCGAGATGCCCCACGTGTCGAGGCCCCTGGCGTAGCACATGTCGTTGGGGCGACCGGTCGCCAGGAGCACCCCTTCGCTCCAGCCCCCGCTCGCCGCGCGGACGCTGGGCGAGATGCCCAGCCTCCATCCTTCCTTCTGCATGCGTTGCGTGAAGCAGGCGATGCCGTGCTCATTGGCCTGCAACTCCTGCGCCATGATGACGGGGAACTTGTTGGTGTACCTGATGGAGCGCATGGCGCGCTCCAGCGTGCCGATGGAGTTCGCGCTGACGGCGATGAACCCCTGCCCGCCCTCCTCGTCAGGAAGACGGCGGTGGTGCTGTCCAGGTGCTCTTGCAGATGTTGAGCACGGTGCTAGGCTGCATGCCAGCCAGCAGAGGAATGAGATGAGCCGCGCGGCGCTCGATCTGCTCGCGCGCGCAGCCTGCGTCCTGCATGATCTTGATGACCTGCTGCTCGCCGGCGCCCCTGGGGGCACGAGACCGGCCCCTGCTTGACCCCCTCCTCGGCACGACGCTGGGTCCTCCGCTTGTCTTTGGCATCTTTGGCGGCCTCGCGCGCGGCGTCGGCCTCCTTCTTGGCTGCCTCCGCGGCGGCGGCAGCAGCGCGCCCCTCCTCGGCGGCTTGCTCCTGCTTGGCGTAGCGGAGGGCCTCGCTGAGCTTGGGGTCGGCGCCCTGGTCGCGCAAGAATTTAGTGGCCTGCTCCAGGAATGAGACCGCCGCGACCCAGCCCTGCCCTGCTTTGGGCATGCTGAGCTCCTCGATGCGGGCGTTCTGTTTCTGCAGCTTGTCGCCCTGCCGGGCCAGGAGAGCCTGTTCCTTGTCAAGCTTCTCCTGGGCCTCCTTGATCTTCTGCCCCTGCTTCTCCGCTCGCTCTTCGGTGCGGCCGCGCTGCCCCTGCGTCTTGTTCCTCTCGCGCGCGAGCATGCATGCACTCGGAGAAACAACGCGGTGCGTCGCTGCCTGCATCAGCAGCTGCCTGCAACTCATCAACTTCTTCCTGAATGGTGGTGATGGTGCCCTGGACGTGCGTCGCCAAGTCTGGGTTCTCTGCTTGCCGCCGAAGGTCAGCCAGGCGCCCCCGTAACCTCTTGAGCTTAGCTTTGGTGGCGTCCTCGGCGCCCGCATCGCCCTGGGCGTTGGCCGAGCTGTGGTTCGTGGACTTCGCGGCGTCGCGAACCTTCCAGCGCTTCCAGCAGGAATCGTAGCCGCCCCCGCTCTGAGCTTTGGCACCCCGCGCAAGCCCAGCCACCATTCCGCGAAGTCGAGCGCGGGGCCATAAATCGGCTCGAGAGCGCAGCAGTTCCACTTTGAAGTTGGCGCCCCTCAACACCGCCCTGCCTCTCTGCAGGCCCAAAGGGGGGGGGGGGGGGGGGGGAGGGGGGGGGGGGGGGGGGTGGGGGGGGGGGGGGCGAGGGGAAGAGGGGGGGGAGGGGCCCCGCCGCTGCAGGATGCCCCCAGTCTGCTGCCGCCGCCGCGCAAGGAAGGCGAACCGCGGGGCGCGCCAGAAAGTGAAGCGCAGGCGGGCGCGCATCAGGTTCGCGGGCAGCGCGATGTCAGCGCGGGGGCGCGAGACTCGAAAAGAGGGGCGCAACAGTTTCAGAGCAAAGAGAAACGAGACAAACGAGCCAGGCGACGAAAGGTACAAAATGAAGGGGAAGGCTCGCGAGCGGATCAGAACCGCAATCGTGGATCTACCTTAGGACCCCGATTGGCCTTGACGGCCCCGAGCCCCCATGGAGACAGGTAGCCATCAACGTGCATCAGCTTGAAGCTCGCGTCGCGCATGGGAGTTGGATTAACACGCTCGGTTGGCGCACGAAACCGCAGCGCTTTTCCTGTCGCGAGCTGCGTTGCCCAGCGCCGATCGCCGACCGACTTTGCCTTGCGCGCGGAAAGAGAACGGGGGGGGGGGGGCGCGAGAGAGAGAGAGAGAGAGAGAGAGAGAGAGAGAGAGGGAAAGAGAGAGAGAGAGGGAGAGAGAGAGAGAGAGAGGGAGAGAGAGAGAGAGAGGGAACATAAAAAAACAGAGAGAGAGAGAGAGAGAGAGAAAAAAAAAAAGGAGAGAGAGAGAGAGAGAGATCGGACAAGTAGGCGGACCAGGGTCCGTCCGCGAGGCGCACTGCGGTGAGACAACTCGCCAAACACTATTTGCGGCGGTGCAGCCTTAAGATACGAGGGCGGGCAACAAACCCCCTCCCCCGGCGCAATGCGACAGACGCTACAGACGGCGGACAGACGGTGAAGATCTCACGTGTCAGACCGCGTGAAGAAGGAGGCCCCAACAAGGAAGGCGACGTGCTGACACGTGGCTAGGCGGCTTGGCAGACCGCCAGTTGGGCGCTTGGCCGCAAAGCGGCGCGCAGGGACGGGGCACCCCCCGCCCCCACGCCCTGACACCGTGGACGCGGAGCCACGCGTACACACGGGCAGGCAGAAAGGAGGAAATTAGCGCGGGGCACCAGGCGGAGCGCCGCGGAGCGATGACAGCATAGCTTGGATGGTGAGTGGCGGCGCAGCACCATCGGGCGAGGGCGTAAGCAGCTCGGCGAAGGCACGCCCAGCGCGGTGGAGGCGCTGGAGCAGAGGGCCTTGACGGGCTTGAGCAGCGGCAAGGTCGGCGGCGAGAGCAGCACACCTCTGCTGAAGAGCGGCCATAGACTGGGACAGCTCGGTTTCGCGGTCGGTGAGGGGCGGCTGCTCAGTGCCTGCGGCCGCGGGCCTCGTGGCAGGGACGAGGTCATCGGTGCGCCTGGCCAGGTGGTGGACTAGCGCAGTACGGCGCTCCGTGTGCTGGCGGCCGTCACCCTTGAGAGGCGACTGGAGGGTAACACGCGGTCCCAGGGCTGGAGCCGCTAGGGCCACGCCCCGTGAGGTCGGAAGAGCCGCATCCTCGCGCCCAGCAACAGTGAAAGCGTGGACGGGGTGCGACGGCCTGACTGGCTCGGTGCCCTGCGGGGGGGCTGGAGCCGCCCCCGCGGGCTGGCGCTGGTGGGGGGACGGAGTGGGTGGCACGGTAGGACCAATCATGATGCCGTGCGAGGGCTCGGAGGTCGGCCGCGTAGTCGGGTGGCGTCTCGATAGGGCGGCATCGTCGGCAGCGTGGGGTGTCGGCGGGGCGTCGTCTATGCTGCCACTCAGTCCGAGGGGATCAACCAGGTCATCGTCGGCGTCTTGACGGTGAGCGACATCATCATGTGGGTGCGATGTCGCTCTCGGTGGCGGAGTCGCGGTGGGCGTCGAGAGGTTGCCCGACGGGGCAGGGTTGGCGCTGGCTGGGCCGTCGTCCAAGAAGTCCAATCCCCCGCCGAAGCCGAACGGGTCGTCCTCCTGTTCATCGAGCATCGCCCGTTGGGCCTCGGCCCAGAGCTCATCCGGGTCTTGCGGGATGAATGGTCCAGCCGCGGGTGGTGCCTGGTCCGACAGCAGGGGGTTTGGTTCCATTTTGCTGAGTTCCGCAGCTGTAAACCCAGCCCTGCGGTGTGGGAGCGGCAGAGTACGGTGTCTGCGCTCGTAGATAGCGACAGCGACCCCATGGAGCACGGTCGCTTGGCGATGTCGTGTTTTGGCAGCTTCAACAATGTCGTCAGGAAGGTTGTGAGTGCGTGCCGCCGTTGTGGCAAGGGCGTCGGCCTGACGGTTGAACTCCTCCGCAATGGGCCCGATGAGCCCAAGGTCGATGCCCAGGTCTCCCAGGTGGCTGGCGATTTTTTCGACGCGAAACATGTTGGGCTTGGCCATAACACATCGGTGGATCTTTTCCCAGAGCTCCGCGTGCGTGCCCTGCGGCGCTGGATGTCCGTCGATGATGCTTTGGAACCCATCGACCACCGCCTGGTTGTCCACGAAAACGTGCACGGGCCGTTCGGCACATGCCGTAAGGTGGACAATGGCGAGGGTCTCCGCAACCTGGGCGTTCTGCGTTAGGCCGTGAACGCGTGCACTGTAGTTCATGCGGTGGTCGATGCCGTAGTAGACGCCGTAGCCCGCTCGTGCTAGCAATGGGATGGCTTGGTTGGTGCATGCACCGTCCGTGGCAGCGTAGACCCATGTCCAACCAGTGTCGTGGTCAAGGTAGGTGGTGTAGGTGTCCTGGGCTGAAGCCGCAGGATCTCCCTCAGGGGGGGGCCGCGGCATGGGCTGTGGCAGCGGGTCCCTCGCGAGGTCGGCCTGCAGGTCGAGGAGGGCTGGGTCTTCGTCGAAGAGCCCGCAGTGTCTTGTGTGCGGCGGAAGACGGGCCCACTGGTCGTCACTGATGAGGGTGGTGAGAGGGAGTCTTTCTCGGGCCCAGCACTTGCAGTCGCGGACAGTGTGCTCCTGAGTTTCCTCTTCCTCGTCGCAGTAGCGGCAGATGGGGCTGGGGTCTGCCGACGTGTTTGATCGGGATCGTCGCTGTCGGGTGTGATCCCCGCCCGACAGGTAGTTCAGGAGGAGCGCCAGCTGCCAGGCAGTGCATTTGGCTGCTCCTTTAGTTCGGGCGAGCCACGTGCTGGCGAAGAGGTCAAGGCCCTGTCTGACAGAGGCTAGGTAGCCAAGGTCGTGTCGCCGTGGCTTGATCCTCCGCAGAAAAGCCCTGCGTTGTGAGGCCCGCAGCATGTGTAGGAAGGCGTTTTGGGGTAAATTCAGCCAGCTGATCTGGCAGCCCCAGTCGTCGTACATGATGCCAAATGTGGGCCAGGTCCATCGGAGCTGCTGGAGCGACTGGACGAGTCGTCCGACGGGTCCTCCACCAAACAGGGTCTGGACGTGGTGTTGGAGGTCTCTGGCGAGCCCGCAGAGTGTAACGTCGCGGTTAACCTGTCGCCGCAGGCACAGGAATGCTTCACGCTGCGTGATGGCGTCGATCTCCAGGGCGTGTCCTGGGACGCACACGGCCATGAGAGTCCAGAACTCGACCCACTTGTTCCCCTTGGGGCGGATAGCCGCCTTGAGGGCGTGGTTGTAGGCAGTTTTGGCTGGGCCTGATGGTGCTTGAATGTCGGTGCCCGTGGTGCAGACGCTGGCAGCCAGGGAACGGGCGTGCCGCGCCTTGATAAGCATCGGCGATGGGAGCTTGCCAATGCGCGGCAGGCGGATAGTCGCCCTCCGTACACGGGCGTCTGCGGTGGCCGTGAGGTTAAGCGCGGCTGGAGCCGGCGCTGCCTCTGCGTTGATGTAACTCCCGACGAGCTTGAAGGAATCGACCACACGTAGGGGGCGCTCCGCCAGTGTGAGCTGGGTAACGGCGGCGTGAAGCTCGTCGGTGAGCGCCCACCCTGCCACTTTACCAGGGTGAATGCGTTGACCTGAGAATCGATCAAACTTGGCGGTTTCGTCAAGAGATTTCTGCAGCTCAGACGCGGTGTGGGTAGTGGAGTTGCTGTCGTCAACAAAGGTAGTGCTGAGTGATCGAGGAACGTATCGATGCTGCCTCTTTGTCCACACGCACATGAGCAGCTTGATGTCGTCCAGGGACCACGAGCTTCCCTGGAGGTGACCGTTAGTCCTGGCCAAGTCCTTAGAGTACGCTCCGTTCATGCGGATGTAGCGTTTGTGGTGTCTGTAGAAATTTCGGCGGACAGTAACGATGTCTTGAGGGCACCCCGCGTGCAGCGCAAGGTTAAGGCAGATGTCCGTGATGAGGTAGTCGAAGCACTTCTGTCGGTCAAGGGCAGCTCCAGCTAAGGGGAGGAGTAAAGCCCTGGCGTGTTCGATGCGCAGGGCGAGAGAGGTGCTGACATCCCCAATGGTGGCTTTGGGAACAGCGCCGAAGCTCGTGGCATGGGTCCATCCTTGCCGCCAGGTCGTGAGGCTACGGTAGGCTGGCGCTTCCCACGCGTACATCCAAACGGAAAGAACCGAGAGAAGTCGTTGGTCCGTCGGGAGTTCCCCTCGGCCTTTTCGGAGGCACGGGTTTGGCACGTGCAGGAGGGGCTCGGGGATGGTGCCAGTGCGTTGCATAGCACGTAAGACGCTGGCGAAGAGGCGAAGGATGTCGTCGGGTAACTCCTTAGCCTCCTTAGTTGTCCAGCCGTCGAGTCCCCCCGCGCGGCGCGGTGAGCGGGTGCGAATGAAGTGGATGAGTTGGTCGTCGGTGAGGTGGAAAGGGGCTGCTGGTGATGGCGTAGGCAGCTCTTGTCGGTACTCGTCGTAGAAGTCCGCCCACGTCGGCATAGCTTCGGCGTCATGGCCCGCGCGAGCGCGGTACCTGCCCAAGATGGGCTCCCAGGTGTCGACCATGAGCTTAAGCATGTCTTTGGTGTTGGCAACAATGGC